GCAACAAATTATCATAAAAAGACGATCACGAATCAGCCTATTTGTATCCACCCTAATCCTAAAAAATACAATTTTAATCACATTATTATCTTTTTAATGTTTTTATCGATATCCATCACTACCATCTATAGATTTGCATCGAAGCGTTTAATTAAAAGTGATTTTTATCACTTTTAGTTGTTATAATTCCTGTAGACCCGCGACCTCCCTGGTCCCTATTTGTTCTGCACAACAACGACATTATTTAAATAAACAATAACAATTAATTTTTATACTATACCATTCCGTGCAAATGTCTTGTAAAACGAATGGATTTCACTGGTCCTTAAGACAAATGGGCTGACGAAGGCTGTAATCATCATGGAACAGTATAAAACTATATTATGTAACATTTTCGTATGTCACGGCTGTACAAAATAATCAATATGAGAGTGTGAAAACGAAGGAGAGCATAATATTATATTATAGTAGTACACACATAATATTGTAGTGTAAGGTTTTTTTGGCTGTCGGTGTTTTGCAGAAAATATTATTAAAACATACGACGTTATTTTTTGTCATCTGACGTCAAACGTAGCGTGAGATCGCAGATCAGTGCCAAAAAATCGAAAAATACCACTTGCATTTGGACAGAACAACACGCGTCATTATTATAATTATTATTATTAACATTATTATTTTACCAAGCATTAATACCAATACTGCTTAAGATTATTGTATTGAATAACGTGTGGGTGTGCCGATCGCTTTAAGAGATAATCTATTTATAAAACGATATATGCAATGAGTTGTGAATTTAGTGTTTAAGATTACTATAATATGATTAGATTTAATGAACTCCCCGAGGTCAACAAGTAGCCAGTATTTATATAATTATGATTGGCTATAATGTAACTGGTAACGTGTAAGTATAGAATTATAAGCGAATCCGTCAGAAAACCTACTCCCTAAGAGGGTACAGCGGTGATTCTACATGGGCTGATTAAGCTATTTCCGAAGTATAAAATGTTTAAATTATAATTATAAGTGATCAAGATAAAACGTATGGTTGCCGGTTAGAGCCCCCTACCCAAATGGAAATCGTGCGCTAGTCGCTACATAATATGTGCTATTATAATATTAAATTACGGTCTAAAAACAAATTATGATAACGCATCGACATCTATAAATAAGACATTTTTACAACATTGTAACTTGTGTAAGCGACCCGTCGAGATGAAAAACACGGGAGCTACTAACTATCGGGTATAAGTGAGCAGAAATTGTTTTATTGATGAAATTAAAGTTAATAGATTACTTTTTATATCTCTGCGGATTATCCCCTTTATACTAACATATTATGATGTACCACCGTTTTGGTCATTAAAGCTTGGGTTCCTTTAATAAACCATAAAGTTTTGTTTGTGTAAAACAATTATTTTTAAATCTTTCGATTATTTCGTAAGACTTTTGATTATGTACGATTGGTTAACATATATATATTATATATATTTGTTTTATACACATGTGGCTCATTTGGCAATGGTATTTTTATTCGGTTTATAAGCCGACATAAATTTTACATTTATACATGGAACATTATGCTTTGGCAGCTGTCACCCGCCGCTCGTGTCACTGACCTATGTCGCCCACACTGAACTACTACTGGATGGATACTATTGGACTTGAGTCTCTTCGCTGCACTGCTTAAAGTCTTTCACATACAATTCGATTGCTTTATGTTTTTTTCCATAACACTGAAAAAATATATGTACATACAAAATCAATCCCATACATTTTATTATTTTAAAATTACAAATCTGCTTTAAAAGAGTAATTACAGTTGTTACTTTCGTTATTCCTATTTTTGTTTTATTTCAGGTAAATAAGCGGTTTTAATTCGCGAAGGTTACATACATTAACTGTAATAAGTGTAGGACAACCAACAGCAAGTTTTCTAGAAATCTGGTTGGGAGAAAAATTCCTAGATTATGTATGTTTTTAGTTATTATTCAGAGGACATTGTATCTTTAATTTTCTAGCAGTGTCGTGAATAATCTAGAATAAAAGATAAACAAATTATTCGAATAAAATATTAAATATTTTTGATGGTATTTAAATTTTTAATTGTCCTGTAAAAAATTCGACTCGATCTGACCGTTATTTGCTAAGTTTTAAGGAATCAAAGTTGAAGGTTAAAAAACCGGTCAAATTTGTTTGCGGGTTTTCCGGTTTTAAGGTTGAAAGAGTTGAGTTTTTCTACTTCTCATCCACCAAAATACGAAGTACCAATCGTTAAGTATGGTACCAAAGTACTGATTGATAGAGATGCTACCTCGTACCCGGTACCAGAGTAAATGAGTTCGCAAGAAGATAGCTTATCTTCAGACACAAAACACAAACTCGTTATAAAATCACTATAGCTTCTCTGCTTCGCATCGTAATGTCCAACATTGTTTTCTAGCTTAAAATTACTCTTAAAATACTATATAACTTCTTAATATAAATATGGAGTTTAAATTCCTCTTAACCGTTTACAATAGGATTTGTTTAGGTATCGAGTACACGACAGAGCTTATACGAAACCAGTTAAGTATTTCACATTAGCTCTATTCCGACTTGTATAATCATAATGATTATTGTTGTTGTATTCCGAAACATAATAATTTATATATAAGCGAGACGCCGCGACAAGTCCAATGACCCTCCCCGGGAATATTTTACTCGTGTATGTGTGTGTCGAGCTTATAATTATATATTATTTTACTAATGCCTGCATGTGTGTTTTTCACGCATGTGTGTGCAAGTCAAGTATGTATGTGCGCCCTGGAATGTGTCAAACTACTGACGTGTTTCCTTCGCGTTTATGATACGTGTCCACCGATCTAGGTCAAGGCTGTGGGCCCTGTGTGTCATTTTGTGTTGTGCCATTTCAATTGAAAAAAACCTACACCAGACAATCGTGCACGATAATAAAATTACCGTGCAATAATCGCTTGCCACCTATGCATAATATAATAAATTCAACGATATTAGAGTTGGCTGACTTGGCGGGGTGCTGGTCCAAAATAGTAATTTCTGTAGCAGCAGCAGACATTATCCGCGGTACAGCGGTACACTGTATGATTAATTTTTATATGCTAAAAATACTTCATTCCAAGACTAAATGACAGGGCCCCCGATTCGGGTTAAAAATTGACCGCTAAATTCAAGGTCTCCACGGCATTTAACAGACGGCTCGCCATAAAAATAGTTCCATTTAATTTTGCGATTTATTGCTATTTTTTTTTTATACAATTTCTACTCACTTTTTTTCTTGTCGTTTTTTATTGAGTTCTTATGTCGCGACGCAATTTTATTGCATTCATCTTATAGTAGAGGTCGCATGCGTAATATTTTTTCAACAAACAAAACTCATAATTCCGACACCAAAAAATTGTAATTGGCCAAAGTGTTTGATTATTATGTTTAACATTATTCTAGACTCGTCCACTTCTGAAATAACCGTCGTTACATTATTTTAACGCCAAAACATTCTATAGTGCTCTCGATCACTAACTACCGTTAGTGTACAATGTTGTGGTGGGATATGGTTTCACAGAAAAAAAACCGTTTTGAATTTGGCGATTTCAAGCACAAATAAGGAAAAGAAAAACTCAGTCATTATGAATAGCTGTAGTTATACTAACTTTTTTTCTTATCTGGTACTCTGAATATTTTTCATTTTATCGGCGTATTATATTTACATTATGCAAAAATTAAACGTAAAAAATACTTATCTCTACACTTCTTAGAATCATACCGTTTATCTGTATTATTAATAGTAGGTATAGTCGTAGTAAAAAAATGTTGTACACGAATAAGACATAAGTTGAATATAATTTATACCTGTTGGATATGTTTTATAGACATTTTGGATTTTACCAGAGTGAGTGTGTCAATTGACAGAGTTTAAATCGAAGGACTCTATTCAACGGAAGGTCGAGTAACACCATAATAATATTTTAATGGAAATTAATCTTCACTATTGTTTTACATCCAACGACTCCGGACTCCCGTGTCTTATCTAATACAGTTTTCATTCGTTATTTGTAGCCGTAGAGGACACCTACATATCCCAAAACCTTGTTTCCCGTTTATTATTCAAAACCATATGGTCGAGTAATTCTAAATCGATTAAAACAGCTAATTTAAAATGTAGGATACATTTTTTTTACTTTGGAGATTTGAGAAATTTAACAATACCTAACAGTACTGTTATGTTTATAAAATATAAGGATACTATAGGCCATTATTGTATAGTGCCTCGGTTTTCAAATATAAAAAATAAAATTATCCTTAAAACATTAAATGTCACGACGTACAACTGTCAATCCAATGTTGAAACTCTGTTATACGTGTATATAATGTACATATATATTTTTTAAAGATTATTTTTGTAAAACTTTAGAAGTAATGCTTCAATTGTTTGGATTTTGATTGAACGCGAACAATGGAGAGTTGAACGCTACAACGGTTATTCTATAACATAATGTATAAACTACAATGCGTAATGTTTGCGTGCGAGACTTGTGAATAGAATTAGATTTATGCACATATACAGTATACACAGGTCAGTGCCAACTGCAGCGCGCTTGGATTATTTTCCTACTGATCTTGAAAAACATGTAATTTGTTGATCGTGGCCAAGAGACGCATTTATTTTAGCTTGAAAAAATAACAACAAAAATGTTTCAAATTGGTTATTTATTTGTTTATTAAAAAATAAATATTTTTTTCTTAAAAAGTAATGCCGACAAAGAAAAGTAATATAATCGATATAGAGAGGGGCAAGACGAAGGATTTGCAATTTCAATTACTAATTTACTCATATAGTGTATACATAAGATGCATATCATGCATCAATATTCAGTTAATGGTTTTAAATACGAATAATGCTTACAAAAGAAAACGTAAATTTAAGTATCAAGTACAAATCCACTTATATTTTTTTAACATATATTTTTCGGTTGTGTTCGCAGATGCCAAAGTACGGCGGTGGTTTCGGATTTGAACCGGCCCTTGTGTTGGTGGCCACGCTAGTAGCCATCATGGCCGTGTCCGTGGTAGCCGTACCGGCCGCACACCACTTGCACCACCATGGACACCGGATGGGCGCCGGTTCGTCGTCCGGCATCGAGCACCCACTCAGCAAACGGTCGTTTTTCGACATCCAATGCAAAGGCGTGTACGACAAGACGATTTTCGCAAGGCTGGACAGGGTGTGCGAAGACTGTTACAATTTGTTCCGGGAACCACAGCTCCATTCTCTGTGCAGGTTTGTAAACTAATCCCACCGACGTCACCACCACCATCTTTTATACGCCTTTGGCCTTTGACCTGTGTAACGTATAATTATTCTCGCTCTCTCTTTCTCTCTGTCTTTGTGGTACCGCTTAGTTAACATGATAGTATCCAACAGGTATTCTCTTAATGAGTCTTTGTTTGAGTTGTCTTCCAACTACTAATTTTATTTTTATATAGCCCTTGCTACCCCTCTCATACCTGCTACCTAAAAAACAATAGAAAAAAATAGTTTTACACCTTAAATAATGGACATCTGGCGTAATCTTAGATTAGACCTACCACGATTAAACCAAGTTCGTTATTTATTGTTATTTTAAAAATAACTTAAACTAACCTATTTAATCTTTAATAGGTTTTATTTTTTTTTAATGATTACCACAAGCTAATTTAAGTTGTAAACCTTCCTTAGCCCGATACCGAACACGTTCATGACGCCTTTGTATTTTTGTTACACGTTTCAATATACTTTACGAATAACGTAATAACTGTATTACTTGCATAAGCCACAACAAATTTGGCTTGTGCTTCCACAATATAAATTGGTAGTTCGATGTGGTAAAGTTCATTTGCAAATAATGTGTAATAATCAGTAATAAATATTGTATTATCATAAAAGATAATATAATATATTTTACAATTTGTTATCTTTTTCTGTCTGTCGTAGCTTAAAAAAACAGCATTGCACACGCCGAGTAGTTATGTTATTCGTTTTGTTAATGGCTATATATATTAATATATAGGGTTTTTTAACTTCTCTAAAGTTAGCAATTACTATTGTCTACTTGCAATTACTAAAATTTTTACTAAAATTTCATTACCTGTTTATTTTTATAAATTTTAGCAGCTGACCAAGTAAAACAAATTATTACAAGCAAACGACAGATAATAACAAGAAACTTACTAACTTGTATAATTTATTCTAAATATAACACAGAGGTCAAAAAGAATTATTAAATCATTATTAAAGTCAGAAAAATATTTACTGTTTTACTTGTCGATGATAATATTATTAGCATAATTAATGAAGTTCAATTAATGTATAAAAAATAAGTTAGAAGTTAATGTATTTATACATGGAAAAAATGAGTTGGACCAACTGAATTGCGTTAAATAGAAAGCAGCCTCCCAAAAATCATTAATTGGGAATAATTTTATGTTTAAAATTTTTTTTTTTAATTCATATTATGTTAGTTTTTAAAACATTGATAAATCATAAATAACTATATAGTTAAAGTTTTCTGAATGCATTTTGCAAAATGCGCCAAAAGACATTTTGTATCAAGTAGTATCAAAATCTCATTTTGTATGGTTTTGAGGGATGGATACTTTCTATATAACGCCATTCAACTAGAGTAGAATTAATATAGAGGTCGATATATTTATAGTTGGAATAACTAAATAAATAGTTTGGCCTACTAAACTATAGCAAAATAGAGCAACTATTTATTTAGTTATTTCATTTATGAATTTTAATCTGTCCTCTTGTTAACTGTATATTTTTTCCGTGAATCATTGCTAGTTATAGATTAAAGTAAAGATAAAATAAATAAACAGTTATAACCATTAACATTTTTTTATAACCCTAGATTTATCAGTGTTTACTCACATGAAATTGTAGGTACAATCAAGTTTTAGTTTACTTTAAGAAAAAATGACTGAAAGGAGAGCTCCGTCATTATTAACTAAATTTATTCCTATAGACCGTGCCGTTGTTCCAAATTCTTTAATTAGATAATAATATAGTTTTTTTTTTTTTTATTGAAATATTAGTACAAACTTAATAATCATATGTTTATTTAGTTATTACTTCTTTGTTTCACCATATACATTGTACATCGAACATATCATATTATTTATTATAAATAGCTCATCTATAAATTTGGTTGGAGGTAAATTTTGCTTTGACCAAATAGGCATCACTACAAGTGTTATATGGTTATCGTTTCATTATTATAAATTATGACACATTGATAATGAAACACTCATACCATTAATTGTTAAATACGGTTTTGTCTTTGAACGCTACACGGTCGATAGACTTAGATAACACGATTAACAAAATATATTGTTACCGTGGCGATTGTTACCTAATATGTAGCTTAATTTGTCTGATCATGACGGATCAGTAATAATTAAAATTATTAAAAAATTAAAATCTGTTAAAATAGCCTTAATTCTTAATCGTGGCGACACACATTCGATTTTTTAAACCTAAACCTAATGTATTTTAAACAGCTGAGACATTAAATTAACTGCAAAAAAAATGGAAAATTGAATTGGATTTCAGTTTTTATAACTGTCTCATAGCAGACTATCAATTAATTTTACTTTAAACATTGTACCTACATAAGTACTCTAAATAGCGTGACAAATTCAGGGTTGCCATTTTTTTAAACTAATAAAAAATACTGTTATAAACAATAATAAGATGTATTTACATTAAAACAACCGTTATTAAAAAAATGTTAAACAAATTAACTTTAGAGGTTCATTGACTTTACGCTGGAGTGAATACATCTTCATTAATGCATATATACATGTCCTTCGGGCTTGACGGTGAATGTTTTTATGTTTTGTCGTATTGTAACCTGAGTACCTATTAAAGGGTTTTAACATGCCACTATTTAACTCTTTTTATGTTGACTATTAGGCATGTGGATGGTTAAGTATTTATTATAATCATTATAGATAATTAAATGTCACAGTCCTATCAATTTAAAAGAAAACGAAAGAATAATATGAAACGTTATTTTTGTAAATTCTCGACAGAAACCACATTAATTATTAGTTCTTTGTCTTACCTATAGATATTATTTATAATTATTAATATGATGATTATTACTATTAACTTCCACACAGCATTGTAAGACCGTGTGGGTATAATGCTTACGCTTCAGTAGGTACTTAATTATGGCTATGTATTCTCCTTGTATAACCAAGTGTATCAGATAGATCGCTTAAAGTTAAAACGATAAAGAAAAGATTACGAGACACGAGTACAATGCGAAATTGTAATTATTAGCTAAAAGATGGACGACAATAAGAGATTAAACATTATATTACCTTTTTTAATAATTTTACATGTAAAATGTTTTAAACTTACATTTATTATAAAAAATGTTGGTATTTTAAACTAACATTCTAAAAATGCATAAAAACTTTTTAAAGTTATACCCTATACAATTTATTTTTAAGTTGTTTAGCTTATAAGAATTTGACTTTCGTAACAAAAATTCGTATCAAATCTATATTACTCGGATACTGATTTGCCCACAACTTTATAATGTCATACAATATGAATTAAGTAGTTCAATTTAATTATTAGAAGGTAGGAACACTTAGTTGTCAGTCTTTAATTAAGAGGCAATTGGTCCATGACCAATAATTTACTGTAGGAATGTTTTTAAAAATCGACTTAATTCAAATATTTATAATATTAAAAAAAAACTGTACAATCATTATCAGTTAGTAAGGGTTTTCTATAGAAAAGTTGTATTTTGTTTTATTGAATGAAATTTGTTGATTTTTTTTTATTCTATATTTTTTAAAATTTATAAAATATCTATGAGAGAATAAAACGGTTTCAGCTCTTGTCGCAGTGTACAGAGATAATTTAGGTAATAACTAATAAGTGTTATTATTATATACCCTCCCTGTCCCCTGGACGCGGTTTTTAAAATTAATGTGCTGTCGGCGAGACGACCACCTACATGCCTAACGATCAGTTGGTTTTCCAGGAAAAATTGCTTCACGACAGATTTTTTCAAAGGATGTCTGGACGTGCTCCTGCTTGAGGACGAAGTGGATAATATACAGAAGTGGATTAAACAGTTGCACGGGGCTGATCCTGTCGGGGCTGGGGTTTAGGTATTTTTCTTTTTTCTTTCGTTTATTATTATTTTATAGATTATTATTATTATTTTTAAGTTGTTTTGTTTTATTTGTTCTTTGCCTGTTCCCATTCCTTACTTACACACAGGGTACACGTTATATTAACTTTCAGTTTTTATTCTAACGCATTTGATTATTTTGATTCTCATTTACTTGTATAAAAATAAAAAGAATCGCTTTTCCTTTTTTGGTGTTATATCTATTACATTTGCTTAACTGTTACCTATTTATCATTGATTAACATTGAGACGAGTTACTGAATGGAAAATTTATTTTATAAAAATTTAGAGTATAAAGCTAAGATTAAAACGATAGTATTTATAAATTATTAATTGGCTAGTATTTACAATTTTGTAAATTAATTTAGAGCGAATCGTACAAAGGAGTGATGTGATAAGTTGGCTTATAAAAAAATGTTGCGTAATTAACTATCACTGAAGCAGCAAGGAACGGGTTTATCATAGGAAACGAGGTTTTACAATATCAAAATTCATTTATTCCTTAAGTTATTATTTTTTAAATAAAACAGTTTTTTAATCGCGATTAAATAGCTCTGTTTTTACCACTTTTGTATTTTGTACCCTTAACACCTTTATCAACAATTCACAATTATTTAATCTAACATAATAATAAGGGTACTGATTAATATTCTTTATAGTATGTTATTAACGCCGACATGTCGTAATTTTTTTTTTTACAGATCTACATGCTTTAATACGGTATACTTTAAGGCTTGTTTGGAGTCTCTTCAACTGCTAACGGAAGAAACTCAGTACAACCAGATGGTCGACTTTTTGGGGAAGAAATAAAATATAATTATAAAATACGGTATATGTACTCCATACGTATATTTTATTTATTTGTAAACCAGACATTGCGGCTGTCGAAAACCCATTCTAGTCTATTCAGAGAAAGCAACAGCATTACAACAATATAATAAATATATCGACGAAATATGTTTACTTTCCCTAGATGAATTTTTCTAATTTATTAATAGATTATAAGGATTTTGTTTTTAATTTTTGTTTACAAAAAAACCTATTTAATTGTTTGTTTTTAATTTCTAAGAGTTGTATTATAAATTATATTATTATTATATATAAATATATTATATACAAAAAGAACAATTTAAAATCTTTTCATCAAAAAATGTGTAATATTTTTTATTTTATATAAAAAAAAAAAAAACTGTTGAATTTTTTTTGTATTTATTTAATTTTTAAATAAACATATAATGACAACTCTAGCGAATACATGACTCAAAGTAGCATGTGTTTCACTAACAAAGATATTATTTGCATTACGCTTTGAGATAAATAAACTATTTAGCCTCATTAGCATTTGTTTTGATATTACTATATTGTAACAAACAAAAATATATACAAGATTTATTATTTTTTTAATTTAAATACCCGTTCCTACTTTGCTGATTTCAGTGTAAATAAAATCTGATATTTTATACTGTCTAACAGATATAAATAATAAAAATAAAAAAGTCTAAGCTTTGTATTTTATAAACTAAATTATAGAACAATATGAAAAAGACAAATTCTATATAGTTAATTCTAAACATTTAAAAAGTGAAATGAAAACTGGAAATTATTGGGTAGGTACATTAAGTAAAATGTTCTGTCCCGATGGTAGGTATGACACTTGTCTCGATCTCGATAATTGATAGGCTATATCTTCAGCAGCTTCGATTCTCCTAAGTTCAACAAGACCTTCACCAGCATCGCCAAAAGATTTTGCCAACATTGATGCAGCTTCAGAATCACCTTGAGCCGATATGATAGATGCTTGTTTCTGTTGCTCCGCTTTTTCTACTAAATATTTAGCTCTCTCCGCATCTTGTTGAGCTACTTGTTTCAATTCAACAGCTTGGGTGAATTCTTTACCAAAAGTTAAATGCGTAATGGATATGTCATCCAATACAACACCAAATTGTCCAGCACGTTCTATCAGTGTTTCACTAACCTAAAATAAAACATTTTGTCAATTAACAGCTATATGACAATCCTTACAAATTTATTATACTATATTATTTATTACCGTGCGTGAAACATTTTCTCTCTGTGTAATTAATTCCCCAGCATCAAATTGTGCAACTACAGCTTTTAAAACTTCAGTTGTTATCGAAGGCAACACACGTTCATCATAATCTACACCAAGGATAGTGTAAATTTTTGGCAATTGTTCAGGTACTGGTCTGAACAATATTCTAAGAGTGATGTTTACATTTTGTAGGTCTTTGCTTCCAGTTATGACAGGAACGTTTCTGGGGCGTGATCTAACATCAAAAATAATAGGTTTCTGTACCCAAGGGATTAAAAAATGAGTGCCTTCTCCGACCACAGTATTTTTAATTCCAGAGAAACGGTCGAAAATAACAGCTCGATGACCACCATCAACGTTAAATAAAGCAGTATTAGCAATACTGCCTGCTATTGTTAAGCCAAGCCCAAGTTGACCGATACGGTTGAGAAGCTGTGCAGCCATTTTTCTAAAGACAAAAAAAAACAACCATAAACTTCTTCGAAAAAAATTAAGTGAGTGTTGCTCAATGAACTTTTTTATAAAAGTATTAAGTGTTTGTTTGAGAATAATGTTTAAGTAATATGTTAAAAGAATCAATATTTAGAATGACATAAAATTATTTGTGAAAAAAACACAATATTATAAGCTAAATATAATAAACTACTCTTACACAAATTGAACAAAATTCACCACAAAAATATAAATTATTATGTAACAAAAAGCAAAGTAAAAATAAAATAATATAATGCTCTACAAATGACACATCAATTGCATTATCGTTTGGTTTATTACTCTCCAAAGCGTAGATCGTCCATCAACCTTCATCAAAAATCTATAATACAGGCTACATTTAATAAGAAATTAATAATAGGCAAAATTGTTTGCCTTGTTTAGTACTTAATTGAAATTATATAAATCTTATAAAAACCTATCAGGGATTGAAAATGTTACCCAACCAAAATTTACAATATTTGCCATAAATACAATAAATGTTGATTAAAATTATTAATAGTACAATATGAGTTAAACTGAATTTGGACTTGTAAAAAAATTAAAGTCAATAAAAAATATTTTTAAGATATCTAATAAAAAAACATAAAATATTGGTTCTATAAAAAAACTTTTATATTGTTCTAAAAGGCTATACTGACTTTAAAATGCTTTAACTAAATCTTTTTTTTTTACAAATTTAAAATCATTTAAGCTATTAGAGTATCATTTATTATTAATAATTTTAATCAAAATTTGTTGTGGTTATAAGAAATATTTAAACAGTTAGATGGGCCATTTAATCAAAAGGAAGCAATGAAACATAGAATACAAAGTACCACACAATGAGGTAGCATAGTTGAGGACAAACTCAGTCCCAGATTTGATGAAAGTAGTTGAACCCTAACGTTCGTCTGAGACAATTGAATAATATACATTTTTTATATGGAAACTTTAAAATGGGGATAAGGAGCCATCCTAAATTTGGGACTCAAATACAAAGATTTGAAGTAAATATGGGCATTAACATTACAATTATAATTATAAATTATTATTATTATACTCTAAGTACAGATTGAAAAGTATGATATGAATACCAATAAGTAATAGTATTATGGGCTTGAAGTCTATACACAATTTGAAGGTATATGAATTGTCAATTTATTATCTGATAAATATTAGTTATTAAAAGTTGATTTAAACATTTGTTTTTTTTGGTAGATACTTTTTACTATTAATTAATAAAGTGGCGATGTTAAGATTATTAAATGACCTATCTCAGAATATGTTTAAAACATATTAACTAACACCAACAACATCAATGACTTTTATTTCTCAATACTAATATTATTTTAACTTTGTTGAAGGTTTTTTTAAGTAAAAAAGTAGGCGGTACTTACAATACAAATAGGTATCTCCCTTAAAAAGTGTAATACTTTAGAAGTGTAGATCAATTAAAATAATAGCGTTTCGCAATTCACAAATAAAAATATATTTTTAGTTCCTACATGAAAAAATACTTATAAAAACTTGAGTGGGAAAGTGTTAATGTAATTTTCAAGATTTTAAGTTGGTTAATCGGCATTCGGTAAAAGTACAGAACTACCAAGTAGTGACTTTTTAATAACTCCGAGTTAATATTTTTAGGTTATGTATCAAATGTTACCGTCAACATCTACAGCTGTGGTTATAAACGGTTCTAACATCAAATGATTACCTTACGAATAACATTAAATAATCCACTAGATGCCGATTGCCGTTTACTGTTGTCAGCGCCTAGCATAGACTTATATCTTTATAGGTCTATGATTGTCATATATATATTTAAATTATTATTATTCCATGTCTTTTCAATTTTTATTCCATGGTCAACCTAACAACCATCTATCTCTTTCTAACGTTGTTCATAACGCGGCAGCATAGGCGGGGTGTGTGGGAGGCGCAGTCCATATCTTTATAGGTCTATGGCGCCTAGCAACAAAAAATTCCGCTCAACATAATGTTATTATATTAGCAGAATATAATTTTTTTAATTAGATTCATAATAAATGCTTTTTACGCTTAAAACTTATATACGTTCTATTTTATTATTACGAAAATTTGATTGAGTGGAGGGGGAGGGGGTCAAAACGCAGTTACCTTGCCAGTTGCCTGTTACAATACAGCCATTTAGCCTGTTGCACACAGCTGCTGGCGTCAATACCCCATAGTCGAAAATAGTAATAAATTTAATTGTTTAGTAAGCTGAATATTGTCCTTACTCCTTCGAGTTTTGATTTGGATATAGCTTATAAGATTTCCGCCATAGAGTATATTTCATAATATAACCTCACAAAGCTATAGGCTACTGTTACAGCAGCGCTCGACGTTAAAGTGGTGTATTCCGTAAATGTTTTTGCCTCATTAAGCGGGCAACTGATAACGATGGAAAAACGGGCCTTATCATCTAAGGCCGTGGTCTTCGTCGAAAATTGATTACATTATTATTTATTTACATTTTAAATTTCGAATTTCAATCCAACAGTACTACTACAACAGAATACAGATATTCTAATTAACTTTTTATCAACTGATAATTTGAACAAATTAACAAGTAAGTTAAGCATTTTAGTTTGTATTACATTTTAATAAAAATAAATAAATATTTTTAAATTATCGTTTTTGCAATTAGAATTGTAAATGGCTAGACTTAGTTTATTGTGTTTTAACTGTACGGATTATTAGTGAGTATTAATTGGTATGATAATACCAAAAATTTTCTAATGGGATAAAATTTCATAACCATTTCTATTACCTTTTAGTAAGTAAGAATTTACCATTTATATAGTTTTTAAATTTAAAGAAATAATTAGTGAGAAGTCTATTTCAAAAATGTATTGTTTGCAATTCAGTTGTGCTTAGTAGTTTAGTTACCATTTGTATTAATTCAAAATACAAAGAATGGAAAGTTTTGACTTTTGCATTAATGCTGAAAAATATTGTTAGGACTAGAATTCAAATTGTTTATCTTAAAAACTCAAACTAGGTATTTAGATTTTTGGTTTTATTCTAATTCTAGAATTCAGTTTTTATTTTTATTTGAATATCAATTTTAAATTCGTAAAGCATAGAGGAAAGCCAGAGAGGATTTTGGATCAAATCTTAGAAAGACATAATTGTCCTTATTTAAATTGTTAGAATTATTCTAATAATTAAAATTTTTAGACTTGATTCCCACCCCTCCTCATAATAAACATAAGGCATACTATTTATTTTCGATTTAAAATATTTAAAGAAAATATTATTTATTCTACTAAAAAAAAAACTACATTTTTTAATACAATTATTTTGTTATGTTTACAAATTGCTACTGTGCTTTAATTCAAGTCAAAATATTATTTTAGATTTATGGAAAATGTCTAGTGATGAAGAATTTATTGGTCCTCCTATACCTGACAACTTAACATTAATTGATACAGTTGATTCAGTTACAAAAAATAACCAGGAATCGGAACAATCAGCAAATGCAGATACTGAAACTGGAAAATCAAGTACTGAAAACGGTATGCAGGTAACAAATATTGGTGAAATACAAACAGAATTGCAAAAAAATAATTTAGAAGACGATGATTATGTTGGACCGCCCATTCCTTCTAATTTAACATCTTCGGATAAAATCATTCAAAAAGATATAAGCAATGAACAAATTAAACAAAATGAGAATGATACTCAAAAAACAACATGTACAGATTATGATAGTGATGATGATTTAAGTGATGACGGTGATGAAGATGATGCAAAAGAAATTAAGTTGCCGATTGAGAGCCACGTTTCATTAAATCATGGTGTTAAATCAGTTTCTGCCTTGTGCGTTGATCCTCCTGGAGTCCGATTAGCTAGTGGTTCGGTTGACTATGATGTCCGTTTATGGGATTTTGCTGGTATGGATCAAACTCTACAAAGTTTTCGCACATTAATTCCTTGTGGAAATCATCCAATCAAATGTCTTAAATATTCTCCAACTGGTGATAGATTATTAGTGATATCTGGAATGTCTCAGGCTAAAGTTTTGGATAGAGATGGTCATGAACTTTGGGAATGTGTCAAAGGTGATCAGTATATATCAGACATGGTAATTTTTTCTTTGTACTCTTAATAGTTTATTTGTATTAGATATCTAATTAAATACATTTTTTAAATTGAAATGTTATGTGGTACTTTTTAGGTGAGGACTAAAGGACACACATCTCCGTTGACTTGTGGATCTTGGCATCCTAGGATTAAAGAAGAATTTTTGACTAGCTCTGAGGATGGATCTTGTCGTATTTGGGATATGACTAAACAGGAAAAGCACAAAAGTATTATCAAGTGTAGAGCAAAAAATGGATTAAGAACTGTTCCGACAACTTGTAATTATAGCAACGATGGAAAATTAGTTGCGTGTGCTTGCAGAGATGGTTCAGTTTTAGTTTATGATACTAGAAAACCAAGTTTTGTGAATGCTACGTTCACAATACGAGATGCTCATCTAAATAATTCTGATACATCCTCAATTGTATTTTCCTATAGAGATCATTTGATATGTACACGTGGTGAAGGTATTGACGAAACTATGAAACTCTGGGATATAAGAGCTTTCAAGAAACCTATTCATATTGTGGATGGATTGTATTCAAGGTATGCCATTGTTTTTTATTTTCAAATTATCATATTTTTATTCAACTTATACACTAATTTACTAATGTTTATGTACATATTTAATAGGTATTCTACCACAGACTGTTGTTTTAGTCCAGATGATTCAATTATAGTAACAGGTCATTCGGTGCGACCAAAGGAAGCAGGAGGTCATCTAATGTTCTATAGTACAGATACGTTTGAACTTCGTGAAAAAATAAAAGTATCTGAATCACATTGTATTAAAGTTTACTGGCATCCTAAACTTAAACAGTTATTTGCTGGTTGTGGAGATGGTACTGTGAAAGTATTTTATGATCAAGTTAATAGCCAAAGGGGTGCTATGTTGTGTGCTTCGAAAACTCGAACCAAGACAAAACAAATGGAAATGGTACCAACGCAGCAGATTATAACACCCCATGCTTTACCTATGTTTAGACAAGATAGAAATAAATCGTTGAAAAAGCGAAATGATAAAGACAGGTTGGATCCGGTAAAATCAAAAAGACCTGATTTACCAATTAAGTCAGGACAAGGTGGCCGTGTTGCTGCATCAGGTAGTACGTTAAGCTCTTATGTTATTCGTAATTTGGGATTAAGCAAACGAGTTGAAGACGATCAGGATCCTAGAGAAGCTATTTTGAAATATGCTAAGGACGCGGCAGAGAATCCATACTGGGTAACACCTGCATATGCTAAAACACAACCAAAAGCTGTTCTTGAACAATCCGAAGACGAACCACAAGAAAAGAAAATTAAATTTGAAATTGGCCAACCAAAACAATAATATAATTATTTAATTTATTAAAAATAAAAATAAATGTTTTATTGAAATTTGTATATTTTATAACTAGAAAAATATTGCATTAAGTGAAATAAGATCAGTCTATAAATAATTATAATTATTATACCTAAACAACATAAAAAGAAATTTTAATTAAAACATTCAACTGGTTTCTATATTTGAATATGTAATAATGTATTGATGGTTCATTGTTGATTTTTAATTATATTGTCTACAATCTAATATTACATTTTTGGGATAATTTTGATAAGAACTTTAAATTCTTCGTGATTGTCGTCTGAATGAGCAATGTTGATGTCCTCTGGTCGCATAGTGTTGAGGAGATTTGTTGGACACAGAATTACCTGTAACGACTAGTTGAACGCATTCAGCTACACCTCTGTTTTGAGCTACTGTATCCCATTCTTGACTTAATCGCCTACTCCAAAAGCGCATATAGTAATATTTGAGCCACCGGCCAAAGATGGTCCATTACCTGCGAGCCTTATGAATCAACAAGTGAGTGTCGATGGTTTCAATGTATTTGCTTTCAGCTGACATCACAGTTTCGGCTCTGGACACGTCAGTAGATAATAGTCCTCGCGGCTATTTAACAATATTAAAATTATTTATAATCTAAAATTGCTTTTCTGAGTTTAATGTGAAAAATATATTTTTACTGTCGACTGTGTTCTCCTAATATTTCTGTATGGTCTGCGCAAGTAGTTATTGTTTCTCTTTTGTAATGCTACTTTTTTAGTCTCAATTCTACTCTCTTCTGAAAATTAATACATAACCAACAGAAAAATAGTGATTTTCTGACGTATTATTTTTTTTACCATTAAAATTCTCTGATGGATGCGTGTCTTGTTTATCTGGCAACAGTGATACCTTCATGTGCATGTTATTCGGTCCGTTCACGCTAACACACCAACCATTCGCTGTTAAAAAAAATATTTTTGTAAACTGATAATTGATAAACCACATTGTATAACACAATTAGACCCTTTTTTTTTTAGAGCAAGAAGTAAATAACGAAATATATCTATTTTTTTTTTTTTAATCCAAATCTAGTTTCAGATTTCTTCTTACACATTCTTTGTTTTTTATATTGCCTCCATAGTATAACCACAGATTACATGAAAAAAATGTGTAAAAACCTAGTGTTTAAAAATTTTAAACAATTAGAAAACTTGCTATAATACAGTATTTATAGATAAACTCTAAATCGTATTTTATATGAGTAAATATTGTTAACACAATTATAATTTAGTTTAATAATTAATTTTTAATTATGTTTATTAAAATAAATATTATTGAAGTGTAATATTATAGTTCTTAGCCGTATAAAAATGTGTTGTCTTACTATATAAATTTGATTATATGTTAATATGTATGGATGAGAAAAAGAAAAAAATTGTAAATTTGTAATAAAATATTGAAATAATATTTAAATTAATTTTTACCAGTTTTATAATCTTCATAGTAGTAAACTTTTATACGAATTTATTAATATAAACTTTTTTTTAATTGAGATAATGTACATAAAATAATTAAATATAATATGATTAGTAATTAATAATTGTATACGTGTAATTATAAAAAAATTACGTATTACTATTAATCTATAATTACAGATAATTTTCGTATAATATTATATGATTAGGTATTCAAATTATATTATGTGTCGGTATAGGAAATCCCTAAAACTAATATCAACTTAAAGCCATTTGTTAAAAAGAAATTGAACTTCAAATTTATAGCTAAGCAATCAGAGCACACGCTTGTGTTTTTATTGTTCTAGGGCTAAGTGATCTGTTTTCATATAATATGTGGTATAAGTGTATACCTAACTTATAAAACAAAAGTTAGAATTTTCCTTTGTTTAAATAAACTAAAAATTTTACATTAACACTAAAATTACTTTTGAATTCTGAAATGAAAATAAAAAATAATATAAAATTATATTTAGAAAATGATTTAAACATGCAGAACGCGCTGAAAATACCATAAAACGGTGTTTTTTTTATAAGTGGAAGCGATTAAAAAATAACGACGTGCTAGAGAAAATCGTATTTTGGGGTTTATACCAAAATCGCGGTGTACCTATAGAGTGTACTGTATTATCTATTATGTGGTATTAGTGCATATTATAATAAATATAATATGTGTATAATATATACTAGTGTATAGTACAAAATAAAAATAAATTATACTTTCTATACTTGATACTTATTTAAAAAAAAAATGAAAAATATGAAATTTTGTACACTATAATATTAATTATTTTACAGAATTTATGTAATAATGTACTTTATAGTTTATACAAAGTGTAAATCGAATTTCAAATAATTTTACCGGAATGAGCAGTACATCGGTGATGATGTGGTTCAGGGGTTTGTACGATTTTTGGCAAATGTTTGGTGGCAGAACGATTATTATTTGTAGCTTGCAGCGTATTCCTGTTTGGAACGTGTACTACAGGCAAAGCCACGGGCTCAGGGGTGGCTTGTACATGAACCGTGTACTGTTGATTGGCGTTTCCTAAATTGGCTTCTTCGTCATTGTCGAGTAATTCTGTTTGTAAAAAGTCAATTGATAAAAAATAGAGTACATATTAAATATTTTAAAACGTACAACTAGGTACACTATTTGCTACATTTAAAGTAATTATAAAAACTATTTTAAAATTTAACTGATTTAACAGTTGTTGAGTCCACTTCTAAGGCATAATGACTTGTTTATGTGTATTATTTCTGGAAAATATTATAATTGCAGTTATTTTAAAAATAATAAAATTGTTGTAAAGAGCTTTTAATGAATGGTATCACTCTAATAAAAAAAATTTTTTTTTTAAAGTTTACGTGCATATAAACTAACCAGTTTTATAATTAAGTCGATTTTAGTTGATTACAAAATAGGTACATAATATAATTAAACCACTTAAAATTACCACCCCTTAATTAAGGCTTAATTTTTAAACCGGTCTTATAATTTATAATAAACGTAGTAATTTGTGAATACATAAAACAAAAGCAATACATGGGATTTGAGTGTATTGAGAGGGACTGACACTGGAAGTGATCCATGTTATTTAAGTTATAATCTATTAAGGCTATTCCACACGACTAGTCTATTTGGCTTACAGATGATTCCATTAACTTGTGATACATTAACCAACAATCGACCGGTACAGGCACTAGCCTAATCACTAAACCAGCAATTGTACAAGTAAAATCTCCCACACGAAACCTACGTTCTAAACTTAAAGACTTATGAAATAAGTGTCATTTTGATTTTGGTGAGCATCAAAGGAGGGATTGCCTAATTTTAAATTATAATTATGATTTAAATGGAACAGATTTGTTGTATAAAATAAATATAAACTATCCAAATGTTGTATGTTGAAAACTTGTGAGTAGAAAAATCAATTTCACTATTAGAAAAATTGTAAATATAACTACTTTTTTTTTGAATGCGTTAATGAATACTTTTTTTTTACAGACAGATTAATTTTTTAATACGAAAAAAAAAGGAAATTATGGACTGAAATGGACATGGTACAAAATGGGGGTGGTCAATTATTGAAAGAAAAATTAAAACGACAACATACACTAAAAGTAATATTTTTAAATGTTTGAGTACTTAATTAAATATTTTAGTAAATGTTATATGATGACCACGTCATCAATATAGGTTACATGTTTTTTAAATAAATGCGGGCAGTGCTTCCGGCGACTTGAGACTGATGACCAAACGATTAAATTAACAAGAACGCTGAATTGTAAATTGTAAAACTATATAAAAGTCAATCAGATCAATAATATTTCGTCAGTCGATTTTACCAGACCTATATGTCATCAGTCAAGAGTACTCGGTTGTCGCTGTCCTGTCCGTCTACAAGGTTTAAGTTCGAGAGTTCGTTCATTATCACCTAGTAGTCTATCCTCTTTCCTTGTGCACTTGTCTTGCGATTCGTTCGCACAGTGCACATTCCTTTCTTAAAGTACCTTATCCTTCCTTCATCTTTCCAAGTATTCGTGTCTTGCGATTCGTTCGCACATTATACTTTCCTCTCCACACACACACGTGTCTTGCAATTCGTTCGCACCGTGTGTGCTTACATTTCCTTAGGTACTCGTGTCTTGCGATTCGTTCGCACCTTGTACCTATCCTTTCCAATTCTCTAATTATTTTTAATCCAGTATAAACAATGGCTCTTCGACATTCGCGAAGAACCCGGACAGCAATCCGTTTTACTCTTGTACCAGTGTTCACCAGTGTACATCAAAAGTCTAGTGGTTCCATTTCATTTCTTTTTGTCTTACTACTCTAGTGTATACGAGTATTTTAGTATCAAATAAAATTAACTTTGACCGAATCAATAATTTTCAAATAAATAATTGTATTGTTTAATGTTTAGTTTAGATACAAAAAGGATTAAGGATATTCTGGACCTAATCAATTTTCATATAAGAATTGCTATTTTAAAAGTAGTTAAAATTTAGATGTAACATATGGAGCCTATTCAGATGAGAAAAACAATTGATTAAACTAACTTCACAAACACGTGATGAATTACTTAACCGCTCTGTTTGATAATTTAGTTTGTATATTATGTATGGACCATGTATGCTTTAGACCTCTCTCAGCTACTCCGTCCCCGTCACATAACTTAACGACTTGACAACATATAAATACTCACTATCGATTTGGAACGATGATTTAAGTTGCGAAAACAAGGGGTAATTTATTTTTATTTTTACAAATATATGTTTAAATGATTTACGAGAAAGTTTTTTGGTATTGCACCCTTCCAAAATATAGTACAATTCAATTTCTAAAGTACCTAATGTTGTAAAAACTGAAAAGTAAAAAAATATTTTTCCGGTGATGACTTAGCAAATAATTATCTTTTACCTCGTTTTTTTTTTATGTAGAAATGAAATTCAACTGCTAATTAGTACTAATTATACTTGTTTTTTATAGCGGTGATATTATATATAGAATACATTAGTTGTTGAAAATTATTGACTTTTCTCTATTTAATTCTGCCTGCATTAGATTTACTAAGGAATGCATACTTTTCTTGTGTAATAAAAAAAATATAAAAATAATGCTTATAAAATAAACACAATTCAATACTACCTATAAAGTTTGCATAATATAAAGTAACTATATTAAGTTTTTGTATAGGTACAAATTAAATTCTCTAATTGCTAATATTTTAATTATACTAGGATTAGATTGATGCTTCCTAATTTCTATAGCTTATTAAAATAAATAAAAAGGTAGGCATAAGCCATCTAATAATGATAATATAACAGGTGATATTAATATCAATATTAACAATTTAGATCCATATTTTGGGTATCTATATGTTTTGGATAGTCACAACTTTGTTTCATGTATAAATGTTTTCACTCATGTTATATCATCCTCTTAAACTTGTATTGGCCACATTTTTTTTAAAAAACATTGAACTTAGCAGTACAACATTTTATATACTTGAAAGTATTGTTACTGATTATTTATCGCTATTCTAGTGTAGTGGCCAATGTTGGCCAAATAGACCAGTCGTGTGGGATCGGCCTTAAATAGTGATTTTGTCGCTCATACCTAAATGTATTAGGTACTAGTTCAAAACCAGTCGCCACGTATTAATACGTCATTAAATTATTGATATTGTAGTAATATGAAAAAATATTTACCATAAGATTCCGTATCTGTACTGTCTGACCTGAGCGTATAAAAATTGATCCATCCCTTTGACAACGTGAGAAGTCTATCATTTTTGGCACCTTCCAACGCCTCTTTGCCCTTGTATTTTTTCTGTCTGACTACTCCAACTAATAATGCATTGTCTGTACCGAAATCCTTCATTGCCGTCGGCTGTTGTGCTGATGGCTTACAGTCGCTGGTTGCTTGGTGATCCGTCTGATTACCCTCAGACACCAATTTTCGACCGTCCACAACGCGTATCTGGTGTTCGGACACTTTGCGCTGTTTGTCCATACCCGCCAGCAACGTTTCCAGTACTTCGTGGTCATCAACCACTTTTGCGGATCCACCCTGCGCTTGTACACCTTTTTCGGCCGTCCACAACGTCTGACAACTCTTGTGGCGGACTCGGACACGCGTGGTGGCTTTCTTGGCTATTGTGAACGAGTGCAAGTGTTTTTTGAGTTGGCTCTGCCGGCGATTCAGACGGGTTTCGAGCGTGCCCGGTAATTTCAGTGTAAATGTTACCGCCGCTGACTGTTGTCCGTTCAACGTCAGAAAGTATGAAACGGCTGTTCCTTCGTTCTTGCCATCTTCAAGGCTGTCCGTTAAGCTTTCGTCGCTGTCCGTATTCTTTTCTTCTCGGTTTAGTTGTGAATAGTACGAAGCAACCGGTCGGATGGCCGTTTGTTCAGCACCGCCAAAAACAGTGCAGTCCTCTAAGCCAGTATTCAAACACATGTCTTGATAATAGTCGTAACGATCGTTGATCCATCGACGTCTGTTGGTCGTTGGGTTAACTAAATTTTCATAGTTCACCTTACGATGGCGTCTGTCGTCCGATTCGGTATTCGATGGCGGCTGTTGTTTTGCGTAGTAAGTGTCGCCGAATAGGAATCCGCCAATATATTCTTCCGAAACACGAATCGATTCTTGTTCAACAGAACGATCGGTTGGACGTCCACTCGAATCTAGGCATCGACATCTTTCACTATCGTATAAACAGTTTTTGCTATAGTTACAGTCCTTTGGTCTGTCTAGGTAGTCTCTGAGTTTGTAACCTCCTTTTCCTTTTCGTTGACTGCCGTTTAAAATTCCTTTCTGGATGTTTCCGTCTGGCCGTTGCGACGCGTCTAACGTTCGTTGTGTTTTCGCTTTGTCTGCAGTTAGAGATAGGTCTTTGGAACTGCAGTTATCGTTTACCGACATAGTCGTTCCGTTCTCGCTGTCGACATGTTTTTCGTCAATATTCGAACAGATTTTTAATGTAGGTGGCTCAAGATCTTCCCGGGTCGATTTTCCATCACCATCATCGACCAGTGTCACTGACATAAGTGTATTATTATCATTCTTTGAAAACTCGCCCACGATCGATTGTCTTACCGTTTGGTATGCTCGTTTTTTCTTCTCTGGTACCGGTTCGTTTAGGCATTGTACACCATTTGAATCACATTCTGCTGTCTTTTCAACAACGAATCCACCGGAAAGACTTTCGGCTGCGTTCGATACCTCTTCCAAGACTCTATCGTTGTTGTATACAGGAATCGGTGCTCTACCGATTAGTTCTTTTACTGGCATAGTAAGTAAGTTGTAGTTGTTGTAGTTTTCGACGACGTCACTCTGAGGTACTTCGAGAACGTTTAGATTTTTCCGTAACGCACAATCACTGTCCTTCTCTGGATCGCTTTTTTCTGTAGACAAACCAAAAGCGTTAGTTTCAGTTTGATGAGCTATCATTGAAGTATTGTGGTCGATACTGTTCGTTGTCGCTTCTTGTTTGTTTTCCATCAATTCTACTTTTTGTTCTCGTTTTTCTAATTGTAATGGCGTTTCACCGGCAAACGTCTGTTTCGATTCAAGCCGTGCGACGTGTTCCTGTTCTTCTATCCTAATGACCGGTACTAACAAATCGGTCGTGTTTTCTTGAAACAAACACAGATCCGGACTAGAAGCAATATTTTGTTTTAAAATGTCTTGGGAAACGCTGCTGTTGATCGAGTCACATTCGGTTTCCGGTGACCGGCCATCCCGGAGTAGTTTTTCCAAACCACTATCATTGTCACCGTCTTTGTTCGTCGCATCGGTCAAAACGTTTTCGGACGGAGTATTTTCGTTTGTGGTATGTCTGACGACTGGATTGCGTTCATTTGTCGCGGTACTGTTGCTAGATTCGACCGGTGTCTCGGCTCTGCTCGACGACATGGATATCAAATCAGACGTCAAACACTTATGGTCTTGAAAGGCGTCGCCCGACGTGAACATCAACGTCGGCGTTCTTGCATCAGTTATCGGTCCGGCGTCAACGGTCGGCACGTAGTGAACGCTGAACCGGTGACTTTCAGTATGTGACACATAACCGCCGTCGACGGGATGCCGGAGCACGCTTTCGCAGCTGAATACTATAGGAAACCCGGGTTCAATCGGAAACGTGGTGGTCGTGGACGCGTTTCTGGTGTTTCTGACTGACGCTGTGTCGCCGCTCTTGTTAGATCGAGGTCGCAACAACGTCATGTCCAACGCGGTGTTTGCCGTATCGCTGGAATCCGGCGAAGATCCACCATCGCGGTCCGATCCATCGTAGTACCGAGTCGGTTGTGTTTTCTGCGCAGAACCTGTCTGGTAGTCGGCCGAATTGTTGTCTGGCTTTTCTGCTCCCGCTGACATAGACCTGACTGCTGCCAACTTGACTGCTTTTGTGTCGATCGAGTCCCATTCCGGTTTCAGGTCTCTCGTCGGTATTTTCGGCAATCGAACGGCCGATTCAGTTTTAATGGGTTTACCGCCCGCCGCCGTCCGGTCCGGCCGCAATTTGGGTAGCAACCACTCCGGCTCGCCGGCGGACGATCGCACCGGCAATGATATCTTTCTCTTGTAAACGTGCTTGAACTTCTGACAGCCTTTGAACGCGGTAAAAGATTGTCGACGCCTCTCGCAGTGCACGGCCACCGATCGGACCTTTGGCCGTTTCAAAAGCTTTTTATGCGGTTTTGTTGTTATACTACTGTCGCTTCCACCGTTTGTCGACCTCCACAAATACTTATCCAGCCCCAACATGTCTGTTTGACACGATTTGTTCGACAAGTATTGTTCGCAGCCGCCGTCGACCATGCCGGTGCCATTACGATAGTGCTTGAGCGCTTGTTTTCTCATAGCCAACTCTGGAGTAGAATTTCTCCGGCCCCAATACTTGGGAATCTCCGTCTTCGACTGCCCACTGAAAGACAATAGAAACAACTAACACGTGTATTATTATAAGTAATTTTTACGGTGCCTTACGCAATTCTGACAATTGCTTTTCTTTTGTATTATCTTGAGTTTAATTTTTAGGCAGCATTTTATATAAGTAAAAATTAAAAAATGTTTAACTACTTAGAAGTCAACCGAGAGCACAATATATTATAGAGTAATAAAATTATTGCTTAAAAGCTTAATAAGGTCGCATAAGGTACATAGATAATTTGTGGAGTAAAAATATAATTTGAATGTATTGAAGGAAGGGAGGTTTCAGGAATTTCAGGTGATAACAGTATATTGTGTAAGTAATTAGTAATATGTCAGGATAAGTCAGGATATGTCAATATACAGGATGATTTCTAGTGTACCAGTACAATATTCATTTTATTATTATTAACCTAATTTTAAAAAATATATTGTTTTGTGACGGCAGGAAACATTTTTTATAGTTTTAAGTGTTGAACAAATTTACCTTTCCAAGGAAATGCATCGATGATGAGTTTTGCGAAACGGACGACCATCACCAACTCCACCCATAACGTCCTGAAATCACAAGCAAATGGAGATTTAAATTTAAAATCTAATTAGCGGAGACATGAACAAGTCAAGGGGGTTGTTAATATTCCCTCAAAAATCTTATGTTGTGATCAATTTATTTCAAAATTAACAATGGTCGATTAATAATTACCTATTTTTAGATTTTACTTTTGCTAAAATGTCAAGAAAATAACAAGTCATAAAATAGATATAACAAAATAAAAGGGAACAAACACATCAAATATATAAAATACACAAAGAATACATTCTAGGTACTTATTTAATTGAATACTAACTCCAAATAATTAAATAAAGACTTGAATATTATGGTTGATGATCAATGTTTCGCTGTTGGCTATTAATCGAAGGTTAACGCGGAATATTTCCTTATTAAGATCAATTTTTGCTATCAATTTTATGATAAAAAATGAAATTATTATATACCATCGATTTTCACAATAGGGTTTTTAGAGGAAAATGAGTTAAACAAAAAACTCGTATACATTCTTATGAACGCGTAACAGCTGTTCTTACCGTTGTTAAATGTAATTTCTAAAGCGTCTGGGACGATAGATATAATATTGTTTTATGTAAGCGGTTTTGTTTATTTTTATTTCATAGAATCGGCTTGATTGTTTGTGTTACGAGCCACGACCAGATGTGTGCGACGAACAACTAAGTGAGTATTTATAAAACCGCTGGAAGGCCTGGAAATCAAAACGTGATAACGAGTAACGACCGGGCCATACTGCGGGCAAACGACAACCTATGTAGAAGTTTTGACTTGAGCGTGTAAGGTTTTAAGGCAAACTGTGTGATACTTCCTCGATCGATTGATATTTGACCTAATGGCCTGTTACACGAATTGCCAGTGACCGCGGTCAGTCGTGTCACGAACATCCCCCCACGAAACCAACGCGCAAAGACAGTAAGAAAGGGCTAATAAATAATGGTTATAATTTAAATAATTTATATTTTTTACTCTGTTATGAGCCTCATTTGATCGCTCGCGAAGTCACACCCGATAATTTCAACGCGACCGTCGTGAGTAAAACTTTATTTGTTCGACCCAAACTACAGAAATGATAAAAAAAAAATGTTGATATATTGTTATACACAACCGAGGTCGGTTACCAAGTGCATGGCAGTGGCGGCGGCGAGGTTAATGTACTCGCGTCACGGAATCAAAAGTATCCATTATTCTTTTTATTATGGGTTTTATTTTTTATGACTGACTTTTAAAAACCAATACCGTATTTTGAGACAATCACTAAGAAACGATTCTTTACGGGTATTAAATGCTAACCGACCGACGGTCAGGATTACAATTTTAAACAGAATCGAAATTGTGCCAAAAATTAAAACGATAAAGGGTTCACGTAAAAAAAATAATAGAACGATAATCGATCCCTTGGTTTCGTGCCTTCCGGTAGTTTTACAACAAAATTACAACGCAAGCTACCTTAACAATATATTAAAAACGTCCTTAGACCTTTAGACCGAAGGAATATTTGCTTTACAACGCGGTGGAAGTATATTTTATAACTGTGCTTACAACTCCCACCTAGTATAAAGGCAAAATAAGTTAATTTTGTACTGTCCACCGAAGTTCAGTTCTAGATCTGTCAGCCGGTTATGCTTTAAACCATTATCTTAAGCTTGTCCTCTTTTAAGCTTAATTTCTTTCTTTATCTCTGAGACTTTATAGTTTATGTTATTCCTAAATATTTAAAAATTACCCTTTCTGGCTAATGAGAGAAGCATTAGCTTTCGAATGAGAAACTTAAATGCTTCCTCTTATAACAGTTCCTTTGTTTTAAACCCACTTTTGTTGTAAATGCCAAATTTGATTCGATATCTTTTCATTCATCTTCTGTAGATATGCTTAATTATGAATTGGCGTTAAAATATGTAATTACCGAAAATGTGACATATTTCTCTAGTTCCTTTCTGTTATACAGCAACCTCGTCTTCATTCTTTGTCACAAAGTACTCAGAATTTTATGAAGAGAGCTTATTATTTTGTTTGTAATTTTTTTTGTAGCATGTACATAAGGAATATCTCAATTTGTGTCAAGTCGAGAAATAACTATAGTAGTGACAACAATCACGATATAATTTTAACTTGTTACTAGTGTTGTACAAGGTACAGCGCTTCTGTAAGCATATTTTTTAACATTTTTACATATTTAAAATAATAAAAAAACAATTAGAAATAAGCTTTTATTAAAGATAATTTGTATAGTTAAAAACAAAAACAAAGTATTTAAATCGGTTGAGTTTTGCAACCAAAATTTTGGAGGAAAACCAATTAAGTGCTATGGATCACACAAATTATTTAGCTGCAAACTAAAATGCGCGAAAAGAAAACCTAAAGGCTAATATTAAGGTATCCGACTTACCGGCAGCGGGTAGTTGGCGTGTGGTCGCCACGTGGGCGACGGGGTTGATAAATCGATATATCTCCAGTGTCGGTGTGTTTGCTGCTGTCCAACGACTTGCTTTGAAGCTATTACTGTTTGGACTGAATTTATATTGCATTCGTTTAGCCGTAAGCAAGCCGAGTGTGCGTGGCTGGTGCACGGGTTGATGATGCTAAGCGTGCCAGTGCAACGACTACGTCGTATATTATACTTGGTTCGAATGCTATATTAATAGATACTATATACCAACTATATTAAACCAAGATTCAAAAAAAGAAGTTCATTTGTCAGCGTCGGAGAGTCGCATCACCGTCCTCCACATAATTTATACACGACATTAAAAAAAAACCCAAACTTTATGATTTACGGATTTTCAACAAAATTACATTAATCGACAATAAAATTGTTATAGATTGACTCTATCGTTTACGTTAAATTTTAATTTTACTAATTTAAGAGAATTTTTGCAATTTAGTTAATTTATTTTCATTAAAAATAGTAGTCGATTACAACTCTTTAAGACTAAAAAAATATTAATATTAAATATTACTAAAATTTGACAATGGTTTTTTTTAATGGAAAAATGTATTTATTATAAATAATTTATATTAAATACAATTTTATTTCCATGCCACGGCGATTTCTAAATAACCTTCAGGCGAGACCCGCATACTATTTCTAGGGTCTGGTTTGATGGCCTTGGGTAGAGGAATCTCAATTGTAATGGTTTTTCTTGAATCTTTATTGGTCACTTTTTCCGGTCCTTGTATTTTCTCCGCGTATTCTTTCTGTAAGACCACAACGATTCCCATGTCGTAGAAGGTAACCGTGACTATATTAGAAACTGAATCCAAACACGACGACCGCAAATCTACATACAACTAATTTAAAGAAATAAACGAGATTAGTTACAAATATATTGTGTTCGAAATTAATGCTCGGTGCGGCTAGGTGTAATATATTATGTAGTATTATAATTTATAATGTATTTAGAGTTTAGACGACCAAGGTACACTACACGGTTCAACGTGTTGTCTTCGTCGCGCGTAAAACATACAAAGACCATGTAGACGAATTTTTCATAATTTGATGTTTATTGGGAAGTATATCGTATAATATATGTGCCTAATATATAAAGATAACACATTTTCGTACTTTGTATATTTAAAGAATTTTGGGATCGTAGAACAAATGTTTTTAATTGACATTGAGTAATCAGCATAAAATAAATATGCTAAGTCTACCTACCTCGAATTAATATTGTTAGATCTTCCATCATTTTTACATGCATGTATGCCTGTTGGCTGTTAGGCTAGGTTTAAAGATAAATTGAATAAATAAATACCTCCAAATGAAATTGGTAGAATCGAATTTTACAACAATCTGGTGATCCAAGTAAGATATCGGTATCAAGTCTCTCGTGATCTGTGTTCATTACATTAGCTTGTCAGTCGTCACTAGTAAATCATTGAAATTGAATTATTTCTTGCAGTTTGTAGATACAAAAGGCATGTTCAAATATTGTAATTTTTGTGTTAGTTAGATATTTTATCATGTAAAAATTTAAGCATGAGAAATGGAATATGGTTACCATTATTAAAAATAATCAATTTTCTATTATTGTCATAGAAACTTAAATAAATTATAGAATTTTTGTTAAAACCCGTTGGCTACTACTGACAACTTTTAATATTAGGCAGACAAGTCAATCTGTTCATATGGAAGTAGCCGAAAAATATGTAAATAGTAGATAGTAAATATGATGTGTAGGATTTGTAAATAGGATGGGCCGATACCACTTTTTACCGATACCCGATATTCCGATACATATTGCCGATATAAATTCGACACCAGATATATTAAAAAATCAATATTTTTTGTAGGAGAAATGATCAGAGTGATATTCACTCGGCTTTAATTTAAATAATCATTGAACCCATCCTCTTCTTTCGACAAGCCCTCTCCGCACAGTGCATCGGTACGTACTTGTAGTGACTACATATGGAATGTTCTGGCAACTTTGTGACGGATATCATAATCTAGATAATTCTAGATAAATCGACGACAGTATAAAAGCCGATGCTATCGTTCATCAATTCATTCTTTCACTCAATAGTGAATTCAGTTCAGCGCACGTCGTGTATCTCACTTGAGGGGATAGCATGCGGTCTGTTTTTAAGGAGTTTTGTATAGGCAATATTTAAGAAAAAAAATGGTTTTAATAAATTAAAACCATAAATTTACCGTTTAATTTGTACAAGCTTCAAGGTATTATTTTTATTTTAAATATTTTTTTTCTATAAAAAAGCTATTTTGGTTCATTTTAGACCAAAAAGCCAGACAAAATGTCGACTACCTGGGATGATCCAATTTCAACTCTGTAAAAAAGTTCGAGGTTTTTGGCTACTTTACTAGGTTATGTAGGAAGCCGATTTTTATTTCAAAATATCAGTCTTGTGATAAAATAACTTAAATTTGAAATTTATTCAATATTAAAACCCAATTTTTTTAGATAAAAACATAAACAAATCAAAAATCTGTTTCCTACATAACCTAGGAAAGTTTCTAAAGAACTCGTAAGTCATAAATATTTACAGAATTGAAATCAGACCATCCTAAAGAGTCGAAATTTTGTATGGCTTTTTGTTTTTGGTCTAAAATGACAAAAAAAAATCCGTATACAATCAATTTAAATATTTAAATGGAAATTATTTAGTGTAAATAATGTAATATAAATAATTTAGTGTTAATAGTTTCTTTTGTTTATTAATACTTTGCGTTCGGTTAACTTTTTCTAAAGCAAGCCCTCTTAAATTACTCTGTACCATTCTTGGTCATAGGTCATACATAGGTCTTTTTTGGGTAAGACCGATATGAAGTCACATGGGTTTTAGATAAGTGTCGATGTAGTCCGCGTTGGTACATACGTGACAGTAGGTTTTTATCACCCAGATTTCTATAAAAAACGTAGTCCTATAGAATTATATGATAACAAAACACTAAAAAGGCTTTTATAAAATGTGTTTTAAATTTAATTATTTAAATAGGCAATTTTTTTATAAATAGAATTATAGAATAACATCATTAAAAAAAAAAAATACTAATAATATTCGAAAAATAGTTTTAAAATGTTTAATTAAAAATTAATATATCCCTATTGTTTTAACAAGATGAATAATTCTTAAACAATGTGTTCGATGCAAGATAAATTAAAATAGAACGGTTAACAGCAATCTACATCATTGGATTCACCCTACTCTATTATTCATAATAATTACGTCTTCAAGGATTTATGCTAACATATTTTATTTATTTATGTAGTTATTGCAAATTTGTCAGTGCCCAATTCTTACAAGAGAAAATGTATATCTGCAACTGTGCGTAGGTAGCTCCCATAATTATTATTAATTATAAATGACTCACAAATAAAGGTGTGTAATCTACACACCTCTATAGCACATTTTGAATTATTCATTTTACTATTTATAACAAGAAAAAACATTTGTTTTAAATGTACGTTTGATAAGTTAAATTTTCGTTTTCAGTTAGAAAATTTAACAGTTTTAGCAAGTATATGTATGCAAAGTTAAAGATTTATAACTTTTATCGAAATTTTGACAAGGGTGAATTTAGTTAATTGTAGAAATTTTTGTAATTTGTAAACAGCAATAAACAAAAACAAAACTATTCATTTAGAAGTCTACAGTTTCAAACAAAAAACTACTTCTCGGCTTCAACATTTTTTTTTCAGTGAAAAGCAGTCGTTTTATTCAATCACGCGGTTCAAAATCGGGATTCGGGTCCAGATTATTTTTTTTAAATGATAGTTGAAGTACATTTTTTTACAACATCCTGCTTGTTTAGTTTTTTTTTTATAATATTTAAGTAATTTTTTTTATAGTAATTATTATAAGCGCGTTAGAGGTTTTCACATCTTGGACGGGTGGCTTGTGTGTATTATAATTTGCTGGTTTTTTGTTTTACTGATAAGAAAAAGTGATACATTATTTACAATTATTAATATTCTTATAAGTAATATAATCTTTTCGCGTGATATGACACCGAGCTCATGTCATTGAGAAGATAGTCCAGCACGTCTGGTCGTCGCTGTTGCCGCCGCCGCGCCGCTCAGCCTCAGCCTTGTTTACGTGCACAAACATCCTATTATGGGATTGGAAAGGTAAAGCATTAATACTCAGTGTGTAATGTGCATGTTCTACGACGGTCACCTCCGCCATCTAATTATTACCAATACTATTATTATTTTTATTTTTGTTTATTTTATCCTATTTAAGTGCTTTCACTTTTTTTTTTTCTGTATTCATCTCATTCAACAATCGTTTATTCGTATCCTACATATAATAATTTGACAGCCAGATTCTGACTATCATTAGAGTCGTTAGGTCCAAACTACATTTAAAACTTATATGGACAATTTGGTCAAGTGTAAAAAAAATTGTGATGGGAAATGAAAAAAAAAACTGATAGTTTTGGCCAACTTAATGGTTAGGATGGTTGGTCTATGGTTGCCATCGCTTTTGAAATACAAATAAAAGTTAGAAGAACTCAGATAAGAGTGAGTTGCATTAGCGGTTGATTCTACATCACTGCATGAAAAAAAAATTTCGAATTTTTGTCATTGAGATCACTTTGTCCCGAAACGCTTCATTTGGCTTAGAACTTCTGAACAGTTAACTAAACATCAAATGATTATCTACGAATAAAAATAAACACAATAGTACTGTTAAACTAATTTTTTCATATTTTAAACAAAAGTATAACTCTATCTAAATGTTTAAGTATATAAGTATATAAGTATGCTTCGACATACTTAAATACAAAGTTTTAATTCAACTTTGTTTAGACGCACACTGTACACATCTTCACATTATATTTTTTTAACATTTATTACTATAACGGCACTCTTAACATACGGTACTGGGTGATTTACTAATTGTGAGTTGTTAGTTAATTTGCACTCATACCTTGCAAATGAATAACTAACGAATAATCAATTTAAAAATAATAATCATATACTTAGATTAGTTTTACGGTTTATAACATAAAAATATATGTGTGTATGTATAATTATGTAATTATATACATTTTTTATAAGACGTAGATTGAGGGCCAATACATTGTATGTAAGTTGAGAGGCCGGTACATCGTGCGTGCCCAAACACATAGGGAATCCTTCGTGGGGATTTAATATATTTTTATTTGATTTCCATTTTTTTTTTACCAAGTAGACCGCCTCGCAGCATCGCTGCCTCAATCGCGTCTCGAGTTGCGTTGACGCCGTACGTCTATTGCCTGTGCTTTGGACCGGTTGTTTGTGTATGTGAGTTTGTATCTATACATATTGTATTAATTATATTTGTCATCGTTGTTACAAGCCGAGCTCAAGCCGTTTCTTTGCCGTCCACCGACGCGTCTGCATCACACTGTGTACCTACTCCAATATAATATTAGCCTACTGCCTGTGATACGGGAGTGTCACTCCTACGTCTGTAGGTAAATATTTTCGTTTGTCCTTATCTAACATCTGCACCATACCCGTACAAAGTTGTTATAGTAGGTAACGCTCAATAGACAAACAAAAGTAGTAGTAGCAATACAAATAAGAAATAGTTTAAGTGTGTATACACACTACACATCTTGATCATCATTATGCCTTGTATACCTTCTAAAAAAATTCATTCATAACCCTAACAGTAAAAATAATATACCAAGCGCAAGGCGAGACTATAAACATTATAATGATAGTACTAATATATAATGATAAAAATATGATTATTAATATATAGCTAGAGCAGTGTCTCGGTAGGAGGGCTCACGTCCGATTATTATAAACTGTAAGGGTGGCGTTGTGTAGTATGTACACAGGAACGTAATTGACAACGCGGTGTACCTACTTTATACACATGACTAGACGGCGGCCGGCGCCTCTTAGGTTTGTATAGAACTATATCAACCTATCATACCATTATATAATACTAATCGTTTGTATGCACCCTTCGATTGACTTTGACTTTGAAATATAACTGCTATTATATATTGATTTTAACTTTGAAGTTAAAACAAGTATTTCTAGTTTTCTGTTTTTGTGTCTAGATATACGCTAATTTTTTAACCACCCCGCGGATTGCTTCACATAACAATACTGAATTGATCAAAAATTTTACCCAAAAGTTACTTTATAAGGCCAAAAAATGAAAGAGAATTTTAAAGTATTTTTTAAATGGAAAAGGACTCTAAAAAGTATGCTATATTTTTCAACTTAAAAAAAAATCATGAAATAACTTTGAATTTAAATTGGGTTTACTTTAGATATAGTCAACAACTCTTTCCACCTAAATATTTATATATACATCTATATAATACATAACAAATTTCCAAAGTATCTGTAGTAAAACTTTTTATTATTTATGAAACCCCTAAAAGACTCAACAACAGTTTAGTCATTGATTTTCCGATTTAATATGTATTAATATTATAACAAAGGATTTTAGTACTATTTAGTATAACGACCAGAGAAAATTGTTAAAATTGTTATTCAAAATTAAAATATAACACCGGACTGGAGTAAATTACCATAGCACAAGATTTTGGTGTCATTTGATTTACTATAGTGGAATATTTATGTATAGTATATAGTTAACCTAATTCAAATAACGAAAGGATATTGATAATCTCAAAAGTTTTGCAATTGCCAAAACACGTGGGAAGTCATCGTTTCCGTATTACTTTATAATTTTCATTTGCGTCGTTCGATCGTATTGAATTGTAATTTTGTCTCAAAGAAAGAAATATAATAAAGAATAACGCATCAAAAATATCTTTCCTATAGTATTTTTTTTTTTTTTATACCTTTCGTAATCGAATTTCATAATACCAATGTACATAAAGCAATAATTATTATACTGTAGTTATGGATAGCAAATAGTAAATTAAACACTAAATTGGCACGTGTTAAACTACCTACGTGACATTTCATCCATTTCATTCAACCGATATCGTGTTGAAACGTTAAGCGCTATGAAAAGTGAAAACAAACAAACAAGGATAGGTCCCAAATCAGTTAAAATTTTGTATACAACATTTTCTATTGTTCACGTTTATTTACATATTATTAACCGAAATGTCAATTTGAAAATGCGTTTTCTAGTTTCCTCGGGAAGATCTTTTTTTGACCACGCCTTTGTTTTTAATTCTTTATTTATAATTTACAATTTACTGTCCAACTGGTTTGTTTATTCATTATTTGACATTTTATGTATTTTGCTGAATCTGCGAATGTTACTTTTTCAATTAGAACTTTCTCTTACCAAAAGCAATTTTTCGAATTAAAAACATAATCTTAAGTTTTGACTAATAAAATACATTGAAATAACCAGTAATTCATATAATATGTCTAACATGGTGCCTTAGCTGTTTTAACAATGAGCAAGGCAAGGTTACGGCATGGAGGTGTATATATACATCAATAATAATTTTCGTTGCTCTTTTATGGTAACGTTGTCTATGTAAGTGTTGTAAATATACTGGACCTTCTGACGTAGCTGGTGGGTATGCTATTCGAGCATTGACGAACCATCTGAATGCGTTACAAAGTATTTTTTTTATAAGAAGTAATAAATGAATAGTAGTGAATAGTATTTTCATTAATTTTCACGTTTTTCAGATGGCATTTGAAAAAAAAAATGTTTATACTAATATTTGATTGAGGAATATTTCTAAAATTAAGTGTCAGTGTGAATATACATATTAGTTTCGTTCTACGGAACTTAAGTACTAAATAATGTTCCTATTTATAAAACATTATTTAAAGTAAAAAAAAATTTGTAAATTTATAAAGAACTTTTTGAAAAAAAATAACCAGTTACGTTTGTAGTCACCAATCCCTAGTTTTTATATTGTAATATAATAACACGGAGTTATAGTAATACAACTGTGAACTGTCACTATGTTAGGCATGGAGTATTAACAATATTATATTCGACGTTTAATAAAAAAATACTTTTAAAAAGCTCACTTCTACAACATACATATAAATGGAAGAAAAAGAAAGTTAACACGCCTTGCGCTTCTATGGACAAAAGAAACCTGTTCTTTTTAATTCTACATTTTAAAGTAGCGAAAACAATGCTAGAATGTTGCTCCAATGACTCTTCGTTGACGTTTGCACACATTTTAAATTGAGCAATCTGTTTTTGACAATTGACATCACAACGACGTGTACTAATCGTACAAATCGTTAAACTATAATATTATCTGCAGAGTGCAGAAAATGTGCATTAATATATTAGCATATACCTAGTTATATCTTATTAACTAAATTATTCTAGCAGTAACATACCTAAGCTAATCATCAATTAGTAACAAGGGGTTTCAATTACAAAACAAACATTTTTACTTTTTTCGATGAAGAAAAGGGTTTTTGGATTTTCTTTTATAATTCATAATGTTTGAAATTTATATAAATCATTAAAAACTACTACATTTAAAAATACGTGATATTTTTAAAAAAAAAAATTATTGTAAAATATTGACACGATGGATAAAATAATACCTATATTACTTACAACTTAAAATTTTACGAAATATCACATTGGCCAATCGCCATACTGAAAATGTTAACAATTTGTCGTCACAAGTTTTTGTAAACATTTTGTAGTCAACATTTTTATGTATAAAGTATAAACTATAATATTATAATTCATAAAACTATGAAATATACGAATTACAATCTAATTGTAGATAGGTAGATATTGCATATTGTTTAAATTCTTCTGTTCCCCCGCTTTTATTATACCTGAAGTCAATAATGATATTTGATAAATGATAAGGCCGTTTGTAACATCATATTATTCAAACCCGTAAGTGTACCACAAAATAATTCGTTTTGATAAAGTAATGTTATGCCTACGAAAAACGAAATTAAAACCATGACAATGCCCACCTGAAACTTGAAACACGGTTTTTATTACACTATTTTTAAAAATCATAATAATAAGACTTATAAACTGCAGTAGACCTAATTTGAAGTTGATAACATACGTTTTATTTTGTACGAGTAACAACCACTACGGACTACCAAACTTAATTTTATTTACAAATTATTTTTCGAAATTATTATTTATTTTGTACGTTATGTCTTATGAGTAATGTTTCTTTTTTCCCCAAGGCCCTCAGTTTTTGAAAATGGGTGCTAGTAAAGTACCTTTTACATGGAACAAATAAATTGTTCAATTAAGTTATATATTCCTGGGCTCCAGTTTACTTAATTGAAGGTAAGACCCTTTATAAAATATTAAACATTTACAAAGTTAATAATTTTCCAAGTATCATTGTTTTTGTAATTTTAATAAAGCTGTGATGACCGTAATGGCAGTATCGATTGATGAAATACGTGAAAGCATCAACATGGCACGAGAAATGGCACTGACAGGCAATTATGAATCGTCATTAGTCTATTATGAAGGCGCCAAATTGCAGCTGGGACGATTTTTGTCTACAATTGATAGTCAATCTCGACGAGAGTCATGGCGCAATGTATGTATTTATTTTTATGATTTAGTTTCTATAACCCAGCTACAATTTCAATGGAATTGTTTTTTTTCTAGATCCAGCGGCAAATCAATGATGAGTATGATCAATTAAAAGCTTATACGAATACTTTAAATAAATTAAAGCAAGTACGGAGTAATGAATTTGAAAGAAACGAGAGGCCATTAAACACATCTAGTCAAGCATGTAAGACATTTTTCCTTTTACTAAAATTTAAAAAACTAATAAAGTATGTTTTATTGCTTACTTTTATCAGACAATTTATAAAATATATTATATATCTTGTTTTCAATCCAAAAATTATTTATACTTGAAAATTAAAATAAATTTTAAAGTTTTGTATTATATTTTAATTTTTGAGCATTTTTGGTAAAAGCCACCTATTTAAAACAAATAAACTTCTAAATAAAAAAGGCTGATAATTATCCAATGCATATTTACGATATTAAAATGATTTCTCTAGTGAATAGAAATAATAGAAATGAAGATTTATCACCAGTTGATGGTGTATCATGGTTTGGAACTACTCGTCAACAAGTAAATGGTAGTGGATCACTTGAGTGGCCACCAGCCAATAATAATGATCCTGATGTGTGGCCACCTCCATCACCCGTAGAACATAAACCAGCACCTCAAGTTAGACCCCAAAAAAATTCCCGCCGCAACGAATCTTCACGTATGGCTAATAAAACCCAAAAAGTTGGACTAACTAACAGTCGCAACAGTGCTTCTAAATCTCAGATATCTAAGAAAGGTGAAGATATTAAAAAGAGTTCTAAAAAAGAAACCAATGGTCATACAAATGGAATGGTAATCTTAATATATATATAATATAAAATTAATTTTATGATGTTTTATAAATAATGTAAATAATTACAGAGTGATAAAAGTGAAAAAGATAAAGATGAAAAAGAAGAAATAAAACAAGAAGAAAAACGATTTGATTGTTCCTCCTATGATCAAGATCTTGTTGATATGTTAGGTAATGTGGCTTTTTATTACTTTATTTACTGGTTGAAAGCTGTACAGACTATCTCTTACGTTTAACATCTGTTATTTCCACCGATCGGGATTTAGACAGTTTAGATTTGGCATTTTTTGGGCTTATAGTTTTTAGCTACTGACCTAACGCTATCAAGCAAGCTGGTCCCTGAGAGAGGTGCAGGTGGCCAATTTTCCCCCCACACAGTTGTCCGTCCAGAGGAACAAATCCCCAATGGCCAAGATTCGAACCTGCGTCCATGCGTTGGTACACTGTCACCTTATCTCACTCCGTCACTCGCCTGCTCGTGCTTAGTGCAGACTAAAAACTAGCAAATTTGATAAAATTGGACCTGGGGCAGGTCAGGAAAAGAGGGGGCCTCTTTTCTGCAATTGGCGATACATATGCTATTTTTTATTACAACAAAATATATTTATTATATTTTTTTCTTTTTAGAAAGAGATATTGTACAAAAAAATCCTAATATCAGATGGACTGATATAGCTGAATTAGATGAAGCTAAACGCCTTTTAGAAGAAGCAGTAGTACTCCCTATGTGGATGCCTGATTTTTTTAAGGTAAAAATAATAGTAGCTAATATTTATCATAAACACTAATAAGTAAGTTGAAATTATCATTACTAAAATTATAAATAATTTTAAAGGGAATTCGAAGACCTTGGAAAGGGGTTCTGATGGTTGGACCTCCTGGTACAGGAAAAACAATGTTAGCCAAAGCTGTAGCTACAGAATGCAAAACCACCTTTTTTAATGTTTCCTCGTCTACTCTTACATCCAAATATAGAGGAGAATCTGAAAAACTTGTCAGGCTGTTATTTGAAATGGTAAGTTATTGTAATTAGTACTGATATTCCTTACACAAACCTACATTATTTTCATTATAAATCGTTGCTGTAGAAGTTAGACATATAGTAGAACATATTTGGGGCATTGAAAAACATAATTTTATTCAGACTGTCCCTAGTTTATAAGTTAAAAGTGTAAAATGTATACTTGATACACTCATTAATTTTTTACACACAAGTAATTTATCTTTTGGAGTTTTATAATTTAAGTATTATTAGGGCAGTTTCATTACGAATATAAGCATCATTAATTTTAGTGTTAAATAGTTATAAAGGTTTAATAAGGTTTAAACATGTATACATTTATAAAAAAAACTCAGCATAATCATAGGAAATATTATCACTGAAATTTATATACTCAAACATTTTTATTTTCAAAAAGACGTTTCGATGTGTATCCCTACATGATAAAATTTGCATTTAGGTATAGTTTGTTATTGTGATAAAACCATTGCATATTATTTAATGAAAAAATAAAAACACATAATGTAAAATTAATACTTTGTCAACTCTGCATCAAAGTAAAAATAAATCTCCATAGCCAGTTAAAATAACAAATTGTCATCATTAAAAGCAGGGCTATGTAAAAAATAATACATTTCTAAGCGACAAAATATTTATTAGTTATGTTTATGAAACAAATTTGTTGTAGGCTCGGTTTCATGCTCCATCAACAATTTTTATTGATGAAATTGACTCACTTTGCTCTCGAAGAGGTTCAGAATCTGAACATGAAGCATCTAGGAGAGTTAAATCTGAGCTTCTCGTTCAGATGGATGGGTTAAGTGATACCTCAACTGAAGAAGAATCAGGTGCAAGCCGTATTGTAATGGTTTTAGCTGCTACTAACTTCCCATGGGATATAGATGAAGCACTTAGACGAAGACTAGAAAAGCGTATATACATTCCTTTACCTAATAGTAAGTATTAATTTAAATCTAAAAGTTTTATTATGTATTGTAAAATGTATTAAACTATCGATTGCTTTTTAGGCGCTGGTCGAGAAGCGCTACTAAAAATAAACCTAAGGGATGTGAAAGTGGAGCCTGATGTCAGTTTATCAGAAATAGCGACTAAGCTTAAAGGATATTCTGGCGCTGATATTACAAATGTGTGCAGGTAAACATACTTTTTTATATTATATCTTTGATTATAAATATTATAGATAGCACACTGAGACAAATTTAAGTTCTGGACGTTGACACTGGATTGGCGCTAGTAGTATCAATTTCATGAAAAACGATACTACTAGCGCCCGTCCCGTGTCAACGTCCAGAATTAAAGTTTGTCTCAGTGGGCTATCTATAAAATTTATAATCAATGATTATACCAAATAATATTAAATAATTAATGAAATCTTAAATTATAATATTAGGTATCAATAAATATATATTTTATTTTAATTATAATATTAAGTATCAATAAATATATATTTTATTGTAATTATAATATTTAGGGATGCATCTATGATGTCAATGCGACGTAAGATAGCAGGTTTAAAACCAGATCAAATTCGACAATTGGCTAAAGAGGAAGTTGATTTACCTGTTTCTTTTCAAGATTTTTATGAAGCTATTGCAAAGTGTAATAAAAGTGTATCGTCCGACGATTTGGCTAAATATGAAAAATGGATGAACGAATTTGGGTCTTCCTGAAACCTAATGGCAGTTACCTAACTGTATTTATTTTGTTTGCCGAAATGTGTACTTATTTTTTTTTTTCATCCTAGAAACCCTAGAATCCGAGATTATAGTTATAACTTATGGCTGTGTTTTGCTTTTGAATTATAAATGCTCACAACGAACCCTACTTAAAAAAAAAAAACTGAAAGGGTTAATTTATGTTTCAGTTTTTTCTTTTTATTTGTGTTAAAGGTAAAATATTTAATTTTAATATTATTAAGAAAAAAGCTATAACATAGATTTATTAAACATACTTAAAAATAAATTTATATTCTTGCCATTTTTGTAAAAATCAAAATGTTTTTGAACACCCTTAAAAGTATTTTTATGCCTGATTATTTCATTTTCTCTAATTTAATTACCTGATTATTTTAGACAATGAAATGCTGTATTCAATATTATATATGTTCAGCAAAAATTGTTTTGCACTTTTTAGATAATTAATTTTCTAATTCCATCGGTTAAGAATTAACTGTTAAGGCCTTATTGTGATTTATAAAGTACATATACTGTTTTTATGAATAATTTGTATAATTTATTTAAGACAGTAATTATACATATTGTAAAAATAAAAGTCACTCGTAATTTATTAAAGTAAAAAAATGTTTTTACTACTATAGAATTTATTTTATTTTAATGTAAAACAATAGTCAATTTGTTTTCAATATTGGTTTGTTTTGGACATTTTTTTATGGATACTGGTTATTGTGAATATTCCACAGGAAGTTGTTTAAAACAAATACCATATCGAATACAATGTCTTTTCATGACCTTGTCTTTTGGTAAGTTGTAATTAATACTATTTATTTTAGAAAACAAATTATCATGGATTTTGTTTTTATGTGAATTTAAGATTTAAACAACTGTGCAGTAGATTTTTACACTTTTTCTACGAAACATATAAACAAAAATATATCACTTATATTTATATAACGTGTTGTTACTGTTTAGTGTTTACTTATTATAGTGATAAAATATATTGCGGTGGAGTAGATTTCTACAAAGTACGATTTTTGATCATTTTAATAAAAATGGGTTATTATTAACGTATTTATAGGTATTAATACAGTTTTTATAAAAATACTTTAATAATTGTGATATAAGTTTCGCACTATTATTACTAATTTAAAAATGAACAAAATTATAAATGAGGCATTTTGAAGGTGAAAGTGTCAGCTTTCAGAATCTCTTTCCAAATCTAAAAAATATCAATAAGTTATTAATATTTTTATGAAAAATATCGCTCTATGAGAATCACCTGAGGTTGAAGCATTAGGCTAAATATTTTTACCTTCGTTTCTTCTTTGCAACATATAAAAGAAATCCTGGGTATAAAAGTAATAATTTTTTTGATGGATATATTTTTTAGAAGAAAAAAACTTCAGGACAATCTTGTCCATTAGTACATGACGTATAATTAATTAATATAATCTATTGATAGGTATTTGTAGAACAGGCTAACGATATTCGTGAATCGTACAACAATTATCAACCGTAGACGGGATCTATAAAACAATAAAATACTATTGTCTATTTGTACTTCGTAGACACATTTTTTTTAATTTGAATACATAATACATATTTACATCTAAGTAATTATTAGTAAAATGATACTTTGTTCAAGATGTGGCTTATTAATTTAAGTATCAATTGTTGAATATAATATAAGATACGTACGTTAAATTATATTTTACAAAGAAAATATAAAAACTTCATACTAGAAGCTCATGTATTTGTTAAGAATATCGATTCAAAAAAAAAAAATTGTACCTACCTCTTCCAAACTTTATAGTGCCATGAACTAGGTTGTTGTCCCAGTTATTTTTGTCGATGTTGTGTATTAATAATTCACTTACTCCCTCCTATTCATCATTTACAACAAGTTCATTGCACCTTATGATTAAATGTAATTTTCTTCCGTTCGACTGCCAAACCTTTTTTTTTTTTTTGTTAATGTTTATTCTAACAACAACTTACTGTCAAACACAACATGAAAATGGTAGCGGGTGAACAAGATGCAAAACACAAACGTAAAATCTTATCTTTTTTAAAACAACATCCTCATTCGTTCACTATTGCAAGTGGAGAAACGTCAGGGCTAGTTCTTCCTTCGATCAGCGAAAGGTAAGGACTAAAGATACTCTTAAAAGATACAACTAGTTATTACTTAGTAATTTATAGTTTATATTAGATTGGCTAATTTCGCTCAAGATAATAATTGGTAATAGCTGTTATTTTAATTATTCTAATTTAATATATAAGACCTGTATATTCTATTTTTTTTCAGTGGCGTTATTTCAGTTTTTGAAAGGGGAAGGGGATCTGAGTGACCGGCTCTTTTAATAGTAGGGAGGAGGGAGTGTCTCGTTAGCCATCTTCCAAATGACCCCACTAATTTGTTACTTTTTACATTGCTACAACTTTTTATCACTACTGCTTGGTAATTATTGATTGCTTTACACGTTCCAAACATCAAAATTACAATCAGTACCATTTATTCGTATCCAATGCAAATAGAAAGGGGTACAATTAATATATATTTTTTTAAATAAGTTTTATTTTTAAGTTGTCAATAAACTCTTTTCTACGTATATTAGTTTATAGTTATTCCTTATTTTTTGAAAGATATACAGAAGAGAAGTATTTAATATTGCCCATAAGAACACAATATAGTATAGATTTGAACTTACTCTATTATAAACTTATAAAAAAACTTATACTCTTTTGGTTTTTTTCTATTTCAATTAAGCAAGCTGTTTTTAAACTTTTGGTCAAACTTATTTTTAACATTCTTCTGTAGCACTGCATAAAGTGTTTATCCCCGATTCCTTTTAGCTAACTTATAACTCACATCCACTAGGCACTATCTACTTTAAACAGTATACAATTTGAGAAAAAACTACTTCGAAATTTTGGCAGTAACAATACTCAAATGGATCAACCCAAATTCATAAACAAATAAAAAGTTCAGCGTTCAGTTTTGTCGAAATCGAATAATAATAATAAAGAAAATACAAAATGACCTTCGTGTGAAAAAACATTTGCTTATTAATAATAATAATTCCGATTGATTTCTATGTTGCGTACCATTGACCTTATGAAAGATTTTATTTTGTGATATATTCACAAATTAATTTCATTCAGGTGCTTATAATAATATTTGCATGTTAAACTTTCTGAGGGGCAATGTCCCTCGTGCTATTCTGAGTACATGGTCGCGTACATCAGTTATTATATTTTACGTTTTCCGACAATGACCGATGTCCAAACATCGATTACACTCCCCTCTATAATAGCATATACTAGCTGTTATACCCTCAGTCGCCACAACAACGCCATGTCCGAAAGTAGCCGAAACGTCGAGTTCGAAATACAAATGACCGTTCCGGTCACCACGAGGCATTTGTACAAACTTCCATCCGGGTATGTTGACAGCAACCACGTATTATCTTTAAGTTATTACCTTTAATTAAATTTCAAGAAAGCAAAAAATTACATCTAAATACATAAATAAAAAAAAATGAGAAAGCAAAAATACACTGATGTAGCTAAATTGCATATCGAAAACGCCGACCAAGATAAAAATATAATACAGTATTAAATATAAATAAAGATTCACCCTTACATTCACTGCTAAGAAATATTACCAATGTTAAGATAATATAGTATATAGGATTTACTATAAATTGATGGATTGCAATAATTACTTTTATAGTATCACAAATAAATCGTTTAACTACTAATTACCATTAGTTAACTTATTATAAGTAGATACTTTTTTTAGTTATACATAGCTAGTTATTTTAAATATACTTAGTTTTAATTATTTTTAACAATTATTCGACTTTTATTAAAAATTTAATATTGGGAACATTTTATAAAGAACCTCTTTCATTTGTTGAATGATTATAAACACAAAAGTTATTATTATTTAAGAAAACGCTACACACCCGTAATTTACCCAGGAAAAATGGTTTTGCGAGGGACAAGTATGGTACGTATGTGGTATACAGTAATCGTATATAATTTTTTTAATGGATAGAGAAGAATATGCCGTAACGTTTTTATTTTTTTAGTAGCTTAAACACTAACAAAATTATTTAATCGTAAACATGAATTATTTTTACATTTTACAATTTGTCTATAAAAAAAGATTAAGTATAGACATAAAAAAATAAAACGTTAAGACATAATTAAAGTTCTTCTCTATACATTGTGAACATTTGGTTAATCTTATTTTAATACTAGCTCGTGCAAAGCAGTTGTGATGGGAAACAATTTGTATTTTATCCTAAAGAAATGATAGGCTGACAAAAAGAACAATTTAAAACGTATTATTGAAATAGTCTTATTTTTCTATGAATAATTTTTCTTCTAGAGTTATACTGCTTAAAGAACTCATACCATATAATAACTTAGGTTAAGTGGAATGATAAACGTCCATGTTTATGAGCTGGACGTATTACTTAATATGACCATTAATATACCTTTTGTGTTTTGGCCTCCTGCATCGATTTGACTTCCGTTCTCAAATTGTAAATTCTGTATCTTTCCGACTTAAGTACTTTTGCCGGGGGAAAATAGTAATTATTTTGATGGCATCTTCAGTGACAGTTTTATATGATCTTCCCCTATCCTGAGGATAATTCTTCTTTGGGTCTCGTTTAGCTTTTACCTTGTTTTTCGTATTTGAGTACATCGACCCATACTAGTGCGGCATATAGCAATCTACTATCGATCACAATGACTAAAAATCTACTCTTTCCATCGCCTGGTCCTACTATTCTAGACATTATTCTGGCTAAAACGGAAACGGCTGTAGGTGAGTTGCGGCCCGAGGTGTTGTTTACAATGTCGGAGACCGGATAATTGCGGCCCGGCAGTTTTCGATAGACGTATGAGTTGCGGCCCGTGCAACCTATTTTATCTTGAAATTTTTATCGCCAATTTAGTTATACAGGTGATTTTTTTAAAGAGATCCACTCAATATCCTATAGGATTTTATTTGTTTAACTACATTTCACCAGACGCGACGTTCCCTCCCCCCCAACATTTGGGCACAGTTAACTGCCAGCTACAACCGTACCACAAACAGCTGTGAAAGTTTACATTCAAAATTTAACGGTTCATTCTATACTAGCCATCCAAATATCTATAACTTCATTGATGTGCTACTTGAAATTCAATCCGAAACGTACATACAATTTAGAAGTAAAGCGAGAAAGAAGCGTTTATTAGAGAACAAATAACAAAGCTAGAAAACAAAGAAATCGGACAGTTTGAATTTGTCAAAACTTTAAGTTTTAAATTCTCTCAATAATACAAAAATAACCAAAATGACAACGACGGAACGCTCATTGGTAAATAACATGACCAAACTTGACCTTAACTTGACCAAAAAACACATTTTTGGGAGACAACTCAGCCAACCTCAACGTGGTGTCTCCTGGGTAACGCTAATAGGCTGATATAAAGATGTAATTATTATGTGGCCGCAACTCATACGTCCCTCTCATAAACCCGGGCCGCAACTCACCAACACCGACAAAAACAATCCTCATTGCTTTGTCTGATGTCAATTGACGGTATCGTATTTATGGTACCTGATTGACTTCTTAATAATCTTGTAATCATTTTTACATAGCTTTGGAATGCTATATGCTCGTTTGACAGTCAGGCATCAGCATTACTGCCTCGGTTTTATGGGTGGCAAAGTTCAGGCCATTATTTTTCAACCAGTTTGTAATAAGTTTCATTGATAAATTTGTGTTTTTCTGGTGATCGGAACTTGTCTTCGCTGAACCAACGTGTACTATCATCAGCAAGCCGTCGTACATCGTAATCTACAGAAGCGGTCCCAGTAAGACCAGTTTTCATGTTTTTAATTTTTTGGGTAAAAAGCTCACCATTAAGCAATGGCTGTATAAACCTAATATGATATTAGGTTTAATCCCAAATATAATCTTAACTACCTTAATTGACTCAAGTGTTTTACCAGATGGTAGCCTTTTTGCCGCTTCCACTAACTCTGATGTCTGGTAAATGGGAATTTGCAATCTGAGTACCTAGCCTCTGCATAGGTCGCAAAAAGCTTTATCAGTTATAAACAAGATACTGATCTTGTTTATATTCTCAAGTACGGAATGTAGTGTCTTAACTCTTATCTTCATTTTTTTGTTCACGATATTAAATGGAACCACTTCCACCTGCTTACACAACTCAGGCATTGATTCTTCAATCTTCTTGGCTTTTCCTTATGTTGAAACTAAGTTTATTATTAAATAAAAAGCCCTATCCACAAAAATATTTCACTTGAACTCGAATGCGTATTTTGACGACTGTAGTCTACTGTTAGCACTATTTCTAATTTTTCAAAACTTAAAAATAGTACCAACTACTTATTTTTTGTAATTCTGGATTTTAGATTTTTTATTCCTAAAATGCAGAATATGAAAGCCATGCAGGAAAATAAAAAAAAGCTTTAAAAATGCGTCAATCGTCAACAGTAAACAATACATTTTATACTACATACTTTAACAATTATAGAATTACAATAATCGCTTGAACTTAATAGAGAACTGTACACCGCAGTGCAGCTTTATATTTTACCATTTACTCGTACTATATAAAGTTATATATTTCTTAACACGAAAGCTAAGTCTTTATTACATTTTTGAGTAAATAGCAGTAATATCTGCATAACATTTGTATGCGTATTCAAATAATTTGTACAATGACTTACACTTATGTACAATATGTACTAATTATAAAATAGGAGTACAATAATTATATTATTCTTAGTTACTTGTGGTCTAGGCACCTCATAAAATAATGTTAAGGAACCCCGAAAAAAAGCGGATAAATTATCAAATATTTTTTTTACTACTTAGATGGAATAACACAAAGGTACAATACAACTTTATTATAAAAGGTAGGATTTTTACCTAAAAGAAAACATGCTATGTTTATCGATCGAGTTTGGGGGCAAAGGTCAATGGAATTACAAACACGCTTACAGCTAATTTTGGTATTTTCTTTTTGCTTTATTTCTGATGTTTTTAATATGCTTATCGTCTGTCTAGGTATACTTTTACCACGTTGTAAAGGCTTGCGTGACAACTGATTTTCGACTCATTTTATCATAATGTTAGATTTATTTATGTCAAATTAAGATTTGAAAATGCTACTTATAAGAAATATAATTTTTTTAAAAATGTATTTAGGTCGTTGATATTCAACAAAAATTATATACAAAATAATATTATAATTTATTATTCAATTGTTTTGTAAAATTAAAACAAAGTTCTTACACTGATATTACGTTTATTTTAAAATTAATTACTAATTACTTATTATTTAATGTCTTAATTCTGAGGATATAGTTATTTGAAAATAATATTATAGAAAATGTATTTTTAGAGCTTTAATTTATTGCATTGTGATTGGTATACTCTGTCATTTTAGGCAACCTTATGTAACCTTAAAACCAGCTTGCTCAACTTAAGGTTTTTATCACGAGTTTTTGTCAACCGTGGCAATGTTAGTTTTGACTATAACACTACATTATAAAATTTAATATGGACACCACCACAAAGTTTTTTTTTATCAAATTTGTTCACTAAAATATAGATTCATATTAAACAAAAATGAAAACTTATGTCCATAAGTTCACCCATTCACCCCCCAAGGCCCTATCGTTTAATAAAACAATGTTAACAAAATACAATTAGGTTTTTAAAACAAATCCTGCTTCCAAATTTTGCCTCTCCCTTTGATCCGCTTCTTTTTTCTTCAAAACCTCTTGAAAGAAGCTGGCCGTCGCGTTCCATTTCTCCTCCGACTCTAACATCTGTGGGACCATGGTTTCCGGAGAAAAGTTTCCGGTTGTAGATGATAAACTACTTCCCTTTTCTCTCTGTGCCCTTCAAATGTTAATTGTTATGGGCAATGTATAAATTAATTGTATGTCCAGATGATGTAGGTTACACTATATAACTAGTTAGTAGTTACTACATATATGTTTTTTTATTATTATACGAATAATTTTTCAAATAAATCTGTACCTTGGGTCTAAAATAACCAATTATAATACTCACATTTACAATAGCTTTTGGCAAATAAACATTAACATTTTTATTTCCATAAGAACATATTTAGCCCCTTAATTAATTGCTTAGAAACATGGTTTTTTAGAGAAGATAAACTGGATTACAATGTATACAAAAATGAGTTAATACCTTTGTTCATAAATGGAACTTGGCTTTTTCAGACAAGGTACAGATTGTGTTTCCAAACTTGAAACCATACAATATACATAATATTCAATAAAAATAAAAAATACATATCACTGTAATAAATAATATCAACATTTCATTTTTAGCTATATGTCACAACTTGTATTTACGAGCCGTTTCCATGGATACTTGTTTTTTAATATACTTAGAAACGTTAAAATTTCATATTACAACAAACAACATCCTACCACAAACTAAGCATATTTTATTATTTACTTATATTATAGTCATTATTTTGATTAATAATTAAGGTTGTGATAATATATTATTTTTACATTTAAAATGTCATGGCTATCTAATAATTCTTTTTTGAGCGATCCGTTTTTTCAGTGAGTACTTGCTAGTATCATTACTTACTAATCTTATAATATCAACTTCTTACTAAGTAATTCATAATTTCATTATTAAATAATTCCTATTCCTATTAATTTTAAGTATTTAAATTGTAAAAATTAATTCAATTTATTAAATAAGTTCGAAAAGAGTTAACTATTAATAGTTGATAGTTATACATATATTTATATGCATTTCATTTTACGGCGTAATGAATACAATTTAAATATTTTTGTAAATAAATCATTAATTTAGTTGTTTTTATAGCCGCACTCTTATTTACTAAAATAACAATTTATTATTTTTTTTCAATAATTATACATACTTTGAAAGCCCCACGAAATATATGTAAACAAGTATCTGAAAGTACCTACTTCTTCTATGTTAGAATTATTAACTATTAAGTGCATTTTCATACATCTGAATGAATATATTTTTATTTACAAACCAAACCTTAAAATTAGTAAAGAAAGATACTTGTTTTGTTAATTAGATCGTCTAATAATAGACCAACAGGATGGATAGTGCAACAAGAAGTAGCTCGAATGATGGATTCGTTATTGGATCCATTTTCATCATTCGCATCATTTTCCAAACCTGTACGACGAACAAACCAATCTTCAAAAAGATCTCATCTATACAGATCGTCGTCTCAACAAACACAAACAATGCAGAACTCAACACCTAATATAAATCGATCTAACCACGGTATTGAAATATTTGTTAACATTGCACTCATTAATCATACCGAAAAAACACCTATTTTTTTAACTCTTTGTGTTAGTTTTAATATTTACCGTTTAATTGAATAAACTTCGATAATTTAGACAATCATCAGCAACGAAGATCGAACGGACCATCAGAAAAGTGGGCTGCAACATTAAGAAGAAGTGATCCAGAATTACTGCCGGCTATAACAACGAGGAGAGATAGGTAAAAATTCTAATCATAAGCGTTTAGTAAAAAGTATAATATATATCCTCTTATTGTTTCGTTGTTGTTTTCAATTAGGTGTTGTTCACATCCCGGTGGATATAGAACAAAACCAGTGATACCTCCGTTAAACTCACAAGCACCATCTACAGCTCGACAAGCCGATCAAAAAAAACAAATCCAAAAATCCAAAGCACTCATAGGCTATGAGGCCCATTTAATAGATATAATCGAAAAAGACATTTTACAAAGGAACCCAAACGTACAATGGGACCGAATAGCGGGATTAAAGCACGCAAAAAATTTACTGCAGGAAGCTATGGTTTTGCCGATGCTAATGCCTGATTTTTTCAAGGTGCGTGTAGACAGGCGATATATTATATTGCTATGTATAACAGTTTTACTATACATAAAATGAATACGAAGACAAGGAAATTAAACTATGTTAATGAAATGCATAATATTACTTACCTAATATTACATTTACAAGTATACAACGTGTGATACTGTGACATATTTGTTGTTTAGTATACAATAATGATGCATCGTCGTATCGTATTCCTTCTAAACCGCCCGAGTCCCGACTCCTTATTCACTCCTTTCTACAATTTTAAGTGATCGAGTGATTCAAGTGTAAAATATGTGTTAACTTAAGTGAACCGTAATTCATAGTGGCTTGCACACATGCTCAAAAAGGTTAAATTATGCACTTATGATATTTCCATGAATGATTATTTTTTTTTTTTCAAAGACCTAAGTTAAATAATAATAATAAATTCGTTTTAAATAAACGTTATAAACTTATGCATTCTCATATTTTGTAACAGTTTTTTATTATTTAACTTAGATTAAAAAAAAGTAAAATAGATTCGAAAATCCGGCTAATTTGTCAAATCTGGAAAATAAACTGAGAAATTCGGATTTTGAACCTTTCTCTGTAATACCTACCACTATCGATCGTATTTATTGCATTTCTTTTACTGCTCAATTTTAAATTATTAGATTAACGCATAATGAAATAACTCTATAAACGTGATTAATAACCAGAAAATGTTATAGGGCATTCGGAGACCTTGGAAGGGTGTTTTGATGGTTGGACCACCAGGTACAGGCAAAACAATGCTAGCCAAGGCGGTAGCCACTGAATGTGGAACGACGTTTTTTAATGTTTCGTCGTCAACAATGACTTCGAAGTATAGAGGAGAATCAGAAAAACTAGTTAGACTATTGTTTGAGATGGCGAGAGTGCATTCTCCGTCTACTATATTCATAGATGAAGTCGATTCCCTTTGCTCCTTACGGGGATCCGAAGGTGAACATGAAGCATCAAGGAGATTCAAAGCAGAACTCCTTATACACATGGACGGTTTAAATTCAATTAGGTAAAACACTATAGTGTAACAAACTCATCTGAATAGTGTTTTATAAAGACAGAAAAGGGGGGCTTTCCGTTTCAGTTAATTATAATTAAGAAAATATTCGGTCATGTACCATCATGATTTTTGTCTCCGTTTATTAAGGGTTATATTTAATATTTTAGTGTTTTTTTTAAATGCAAGACACTAATAAACAATATATTTATTTATTTATCGTTTTCTTTAATCCTTATTTAACTCTCTAAACAATACCGTTGGCGTCTCAGATTGGTTAGGTTATGATTCCGATTGTACGTTGTATTAATGTGTAATTATTGTTCCATAGTGAAGAAGAAAACAGTCCGTCTATAATGGTTTTGGCAGCTACTAATCACCCTTGGGATATCGATGACGCTTTTAGAAGACGTTTCGAAAAAAGAATATACTTGCCTTTACCAAACGGTATAGTAATTTGATTACATTTTATGGTGACTCGTCAATTTCTCCTAACACATGCCAAACTGATATAATTTTATAATATATTTATTACAGATGAGTCTAGAATGGCATTATTGAAGTTATGCCTGGAAGGCGTGGATCTCGATGAATCGTTTGACTATCGATATGTAGTGAACAAGTTAAGGGGTTACACTGGGTCGGACATTGCCAATGTCTGTAGGGATGCGGCCATGATGGGTATGCGACGAAAAATTGTCGGCCAAACACCGGATCAAATCAAAAATATTAAACGAGCTGACATCGACTTGCCGGTAACTGTACAAGATTTCAACGAAGCAATACAAAGGTGTCGAAAGACTGTAACCAACCAAGATATCGAAAAATACCAAGCGTGGATAGATGAATTCGGATCATTTTGATTTTCCAATGTTACCAAGAATGTGCAAAATCTGTAATAAAAACAGCAAAAAATATGATTGTATAATACAAAAAATAATCCGTCCATGTTAAACATTTATTTTTAATGATTACCTATAATAAAACGAATGCATGTGTTTAACGTTTCCTCTACTTAGGGGATTTCGTTTTTAAATAGGATTCTGGGTTGTGATTCAAATTTGAATACTTTATTTTTTAATTTTAATATTCGTAAAATTCAAGTCATTGGTTAATTAAATATCCAAATACTTTAAATATTGAATACATTTTTAATTAGACAATAATTTAACTATAAAGTAGTACTTTAAAGTAATGAGAAAAGGCGTACAGAGCCCGGAGCGGCAAGTCTTAGGGATGGCACAATCTTACCTCATAAATTATTTAGGTACATTTTTTAACTATTTATAAAAAAATCGAAATATTAAATTTTAAAGCGCAATATTATAATTACTGTTAATTAAGGTAATGCAGAGTGCATAGACTGCTGGTTGATCATTAAAAAACTCTATTTCAAATACATTTTTAAAAAACCAACACAGTCCAAACCAATCAGTCTAAACCAACCTAGTACAAATTTAATAACGTAAAAATCGATATAGATGAAGTTAGAAAAGTTCGGATGAACTAATTATTAAATATTAACGTGATTTCATCGCATACGAACGCTTCGATGTGAATCTGTGCATACTGGACCCCGCTGGTAATTTTTCCTCGCTGTGCTTGATTCAGGCTTTGCTGGTTTAGTCAATACTTCGTTTGTATTGTAATTAGTTTGAGCTATGTTGGTTAACACTGTCCTGGGTTCTTACTATTTGCAGATTTGCATCAAAGCGTTATGTTAATGTTTACGTTTACGTTAATTTTATTGTGTTATATTTCACATTCATATTTAATAATAATTTTACTCAACTTTGCCGACTTCTTTTGTAGGTATTGAATTATACGGTGCTTAGTTATGATGTTCTCGGCTTAGTTTTCTACTTCACTTTTTAGTTTTTCCTTAGCTAGTTTTATTATTGTGCTGGCTTTTACTATTCACAAATTCCCAACGAAGAGTTTGATTGCGATAAAATCACTTTCAGATTTAATATATTTTGACTTTATCCCATTTTCCTAACTTCTTACTATACCTAATGGTTTATGCTGTACGAGGTTTAGATTTATACTGTTCTGGTTTAGACTATGATAGATTTTACAGTAGGTATTTAATTTTACTGGTCTAGTTTTTTACTTTTTGTTATTTTTGTTGTACTGTGTTAATTTACATCATGTTGATTTTTACTGTACAGCTCGATTTATACAACATATATTTAAGAAACGTTAACATTGTATTATTTTTACAGTTTAGTAAAACGTTAAAAAGATGTGACAATGCATTATAATTTATAATTAGTATATATAGTATTGTATAATAAGGTTCTTCTTAGCTTAAAATTTTATACGGACAGAACAAGATGAAAACAATAAAAAATGTTATTTTTACAACATGATGCAATTTTAAAAACTAACTAGACGCGTTAAATAAAATCTGATTTGTTTTTAATTGTGTAGTTTTGTCCGAGTTTTTAGCTGCCCTAGGCACCGAATGACCTAAGAAAGGCCATGTATTTTACGACTGGGTTCAAAGTTGAATAAGTTCATTAGACATTACTCTCTTTTTAAATTAGACACACGATTAATTTTTTTAAATTTCACTAACTTGCTGCAATTACTCGAAAATTCTTCAAATGGAGTAAACTTTCTCACTTTTACTAAAAATGCTTTTACAATAAATAAACAATAATTCTTATTTTACTTTTAAAAAGTGTATTCAAATTATTAATATTAGTGACACTATTAGGATTTAACTTTTATGAGCTATAAATAAATAAGGTATATTAGGTTGGTTATAGCCAAATATTTTCGTGTACCAAAATTTAGTTTTCTTTTTAAACACGTGTTTCCCGTATTTGAGTTTTTGGTTTAAACTTTAACTAAAAAAATGTTTTAATATTGTCAATTGAAGAGCACAGGGGAAAACGGTAGTAGTCACATTATGAATTTTTTTTTTTCAATTTAAAAAAAACTTTTCTAGTTTTTCTAATTTTTCTAGTTTTTCTAGTTTTCCTGGTTTTTCTAGCTTTTCTAATTTTTCTAGTTTTTCTGGTTTTTCTAGTTTTTCTATCTTTTCTAGTTTTTCTGGTTTTTCTAGGTTTAGAAGATAGAAAGATAAAAAAACTAGAAAAATTAGAACAACTAGAAAAACTAGAAAAACCAGAAAAACTAGAATAACTCAGAAAATTAGAAAAACTAAAAAAACTAGAAAAACTTTTCTAGTTTTTCTAGGCTTAGAAGATAGAAAGATAGAAAACAAGAAAAACTAGAAAAATTAGAAAAGTTTTTCTAGTTTTTCTATATTTTCTAGTTTGTCTAGTTTTTCTATCTTTTCTAGTTTTTCTGGTTTTTCTAGGTTTAGAATATAGAAAGTAGATAAACTAGAAAAATTAGAACAACTATAAAAACTAGAAAAACCAGAAAAACTAAAAAAACTAGAAAAATTAGAAAAGTTTTTATAGTTTTCCTATCGTTTCTAGTTTTTCTAGGTTTAGAAAATATAAAGATAGAAAAACTAGACAAATTAGAACAACTAGAAAAACTAGATAAACCAGAAAAACTAGAATAACTAAGAAAATTAGAAAAACTAGAGAAACTTTTCTAGTTTTTCTAGGTTTAGAAGATAGAAAAACAAGAAAAACTAGAAAAATTAGAAAAGTTTTTCTAATTTTTCTCGTATATTTCCAGTTTTTCAGGATTTTTTAGTTTTTCTTAGTTTTTCTAGTTTTTCTAGAAAAGATACAAAAACTAGAAAAACTGGAAAAACTAGAAAAGCTAGAAATACCAGAAAAACTAGAAAAACTAGAAAAAATAGACAAATTAGAAAAGTTATTCTAGTTTTTCTAGTTTTCCAGTTTTATAGTTTTCCTATCGTTTCTAGTTTTTCTAGGTTTAGAAGATATAAAGATAGAAAAACTAGACAAATTAGAACTAGAAAAACTAGAAAAACCAGAAAAACTAGAATAACTAAGAAAATTAGAAAAACTAGAGAAACTTTTCTAGTTTTTCTAGGTTTAGAAGATAGAAAAACAAGAAAAACTAGAAAAATTAGAAAAGTTTTTCTAATTTTTCTCGTTTTATTAGTTTTTCAGTTTTTCAGATTTTTTAGTTTTTCTTGTTTTTTAGGTTTTTCTAGTTTTTCTAGAAAAGATACAAAAACTAGAAAAACTGGAAAAACTAGAAAAGCTAGAAATACCAGAAAAACTAGAAAAAATAGACAAATTAGAAAAGTTATTCTAGTTTTTCTAATTTTTCTAGTTTTCCAGTTTTTATAGTTTTCCTATCGTTTCTAGTTTTTCTAGGTTTAGAAGATATAAAGATAGAAAAACTAGACAAATTAGAACAACTAGAAAAACTAGAATAACCAGAAAAACTAGAATAACTAAGAAAATTAGAAAAACTAGAAAAACTAGAGAAACTTTTCTAGTTTTTCTAGGTTTAGAAGATAGAAAAACAAGAAAAATTAGAAAAGTTTTTCTAGTTTTTATATCTTTTCTAGTTTTATTAGTTTTTCCAGTTTTTCAGGATTTTTTAGTTTTTCTTGTTTTCTTTAGGTTTTTCTAGTTTTTCTAGAAAAGATACAAAAACTAGAAAAACTGGAAAAACTAGAAAAGCTAGAAATACCAGAAAAACTAGAAAACTAGAAAAAATAGACAAATTAGAAAAGTTATTCTAGTTTTCCTGGTTTTTCTAGTTTTTAGGATTTTCTAGTTTACTAGAAAAGATAGAAAAACTAGAAATATTAGAAAAACTTTTCTAGTTTTTTTAATTTATCTTTTTCAGTTTATGCCATAATTTTTTTTTTATTTATGTCAATAGATTGTTTAAATAAATACATTTTTTATTAGAATAACATTTAATGTGATTTATTTTGTTCTTATGTATGAGGGAGAGGAATTTACGAATTTTGTTTTTGCTGTACTCTAAAATTTTCATAATGTGAATACTACTGTTTTTTCCCTGTGCGCTTCAATTGTTTTCCTTAAACCATCCGTAAAAATATAAGGTATTTTAATTAAATGGCTTACTGTGAAAAAACATACTTTTGTTCCGGTTGCGAGAGGACTATAGGTGATTTATTTAATATTAATAATAATAATTACTCAAAGATAGTTTTTTTTTATTAACAATAATAATAATTAATACAGATTGTTAACACAGATACGTGTTTATCGGAATTATCGTAAACGACAAGTTCTTTCAGTAGAGCGCCTAAAAAGTCCATTTTGTTAACATACTGGGTATTGGTTTCTTACAATAAACACAATAATAACGATGCAAGTCGATGAAAATTGTATGTGACATAAATGTTAATTCTTACTATAATTTATCGAACAATTTTAGATACCACCGGTCGTAAATAAAATTAATGGGATTTTTAATAAAAATACTCCGTTTAGCCCAAAGTTTAATGAGGCAATGAAATATTTAGTTTTTCAACTTTTACCAACAATAAACGTTATTTTTCCGAATAAAAAAAATTGTTTCTACTCCTCCTTTCAAAGTTAATGATATCCAAAGAAAAAAATCTATTCATCATCAACCTCTTTGTTTTGAAGAAATGAAGATTGAAGTTCAATAAAGACACAATCATAAACGTCACCACAAACATACACAATAGGTTGGCGTTCATTCTACACCTCGCGAGTAGATAGTTTGTTAATGGAATTTAAAAAAAAAATGTTTAAGTCATTATTCAAATTAAAAATGAAGCGGGTACAGCGTTTTGCCTCTTTCAAGGATAATGATACCCATATACTCGTACTCGTCAACAATTTAAAAACATTTCGTTTTTAATGAATAATGCAAATGTAGTACATAACCATTAAAACAATTAATTATTTTTAAATGATTTTTCCATTTTCTGTTTAACCGCTTTTAATTTAAGACTTTAATAATATTAAACTAATAAGGCTGTGTAAAAAAAAATAATGTTAGTTTGTCATAAAACACATTTACTCGATTCTAAAATAGGACAATACAATTTTCAATCAAATACAAACAAAAATGTAATACCATAATAATAAAACATTCTGGAATCATATAATATTATTACTAAATAATACAAATTTGTATTTATGGTAGAAAAATATATATATTATACATAAACATGGCCAGATGGTTGCAAAATGTACCATTACTCTGGCCAGGTTTACTCAACTGGTAAAAACGTCTCAATATCCCTTAAATTATTATAATATAAATATATATTATAGATGTAATACTTAAAATTTAAAAATTAAATCTTCATACAAAAAAAAGATAAGAAAAAATAATTATGTAAAAATAATTGAATACGTAATAATATAAATTAAAATGAATACAATATAATAATACAAATGTATATTTATGATTAAATATATGAGATTATACAGGAAATTAGTTTTTATCAAGTTATGCCATTTGTACACAACACAAGTACAAACAAAGACAACTTAACACTTAATGCATGGGCATGTTTTTTCAGCTTCAACTAATATATAATATAAGGAGAATAGACATTTGTTTTCTTTACAGCTAACTAGAAAGTTTGATTTAATATTTCTCTCAATGTCTGTTTGAATGTGCAGTAAAATAAAAAATATATATAACTTTATATACTTATATATTATGATATCATGTAATATATACTTGAACTAGATGGGGAGAGATCAATAAATCGTAAAATAAAGCGTTTGCTATAGAATTTCAAAGACAAACACTACATTTTTCAGTTCCCAAATCGAGTTATGCATACAAAAAAATTTAGTCCTAGATTTACAACTTCGTTTTCAAAATTATTACTGTCGGACAAACAACAAAATATATCAAAAAGATATTCGTAATAATGATTCAAAGAAATTATAAAAAACAATAACAGAAAGAAAAAAAAAACACTAATATAATATAACATGCGGTTAATGTAATCGTATAGGCCGTGTAGACTCACCGCAATATGTGTACTAAGAAAACAAGAGAGATGTACCCACCTCACACATAAAGCATATACCCTTACCAAGTACGCCACATGTACGTATTAGCTAACAAAAAAAAAAGTTAATAATAATTAACATGCTAAGTTGAAGCAACTAAATGCAGTATTTTTGTACATACTAACGATTGTACCTACTAACAAAATGGCTTTTAATAATATATAAATTTACTAAATGCGACATATCACATTCATTTTTTTATTTATCTTAATTGTATTTAAGAGTAAACACATAATATAATATATGAAAGACTAATAAAAACATTAATATTATGAAAGACATAAGCAATGTGGGCAGGTAGAAAGCCTAAAATAACAGTAAAAATAACTAAAACGTCTAAATATAAAAACTTATTTTACAACCGTAAAAATTGTAGAAAATTAACATATGAATTTGTTCAAATTTTTTAGTAAAACGTTTTTTAATTAAAACTAAATAATATTTTTGAGTTTATAATAGAATAAACTGAAAATATGAGTGCGAATAATAAGATGGTTTAAATTTCTATTATCGATTGTCATTGAAATGATAGACTATTATAAGAAAATTATGATTACAAAAATATTTATATAGCCGAGAAATTAAATCAGTCTCGAAAGAGTTATAAATTATTTTTATCACAATAATTTAGAAAACTAATTTAGACGTACTGTTTTTATTGAACACTGCTAGGTACTTAATATTAAAACACACTGATCAAACAATTTATATTGCAATATTTGCGGTACTGTTAAGAAGAAATACTGATATAGATAAATATATTTTTTTTTTTTTTGTCTTATCTTGGCTTTTTATCTTGACTTTCCGGGCATCTTTTGTTTGCATCACTAAAAAAAAAAAAAAAATACAAGTGTAATTTAAAAAAAAACTATCCTATTTTAATTATTCATTCATTTGAAAATAACATAAATACTGAAAGCTGATGTTATTTATCATTACTTTTAACATTTTGGATAATTTTTTTGTTAAAATAAAGCTATTAAACAGCATTTTATGTATCTAAGGTGAAATAGACTATATCTGAATAACAGAAAAGTCTTTGGATATCGAAGAATTTATTTAGCAAAAAATTCTTGTACTTTAAACAGAACATTGTAAGTACACAAATGTAATTTTGCATAAACTATGATGTACACAGCTAAATCCTGCAAATAAAATTGTTTGTACCTAAGGTGAAATAGACTATATCTGAATAACAGAAAAGTCTTTGGATATCGAAGAATTTATTTAGCAAACAATTCTTGTACTTTAAACAGAACATTGTAAGTACACAAATGTAATTTTGCATAAACTATGATATACACAGCTAAATCCTGCAAATAAAATTGTTTGTACCTAAGGTGAAATAGACTATATCTGAATAACAGAAAAGTCTTTGGATATCGAAGAATTTATTTAGCAAAATATTCTTGTACTTTAAACAGAACATTGTAAGTACACAAATGTAATTTTGCATTAACTTAGATGTACACAGTTAAATTCTGCAAATCAAATTATTTGTACCTAAGGTGAAATAGACTACATCTGAATAACAGAAAAGTCTTTGGATATCGAAGAATTTATTTAGCAAAAAATTCTTGTACTTTAAACAGAACATTGTAAGTACACAAATGTAATTTTGCATAAACTATGATGTACACAGCTAAATCCTGCAAATAAAATTGTTTGTACCTAAGGTGAAATAGACTATATCTGAATAACAGAAAAGTCTTTGGATATCGAAGAATTTATTTAGCAAAATATTCTTGTACTTTAAACAGAACATTGTAAGTACACAAATGTAATTTTGCATTAACTTAGATGTACACAGTTAAATTCTGCAAACCAAATTATTTGTACCTAAGGTGAAATAGACTACATCTTAATAAAAGAAAAGTCTTTGGATATCGAAGAATTTATTTAGCAAAATATTCTTGTACTTTGAATAGAACATAGTAAGTACACAAATAATATATTTTGCTTTGTAACATTTATTTAAGAAGACAGCCTAAGACTTAATACGAGCAATTATTTTAATAGTAAAAAATATATAATGTAATAGTATTGGGGATATATTAATTGAATCAAAGTAAAAAAATTCTTAATGATTATCGATAACACCAATTTTTTTTTTATATTCTCAATATTCAATGTAAGTCTAACTCAGAATCAAAAAAGCACAACATTTAGGTACTGATAATTTACATACTTCTACTAAAATTAAAGTTTTTTATCTTCATGAGGTTATAATAAAGAAAGAAAAAGCGTTAAGTAGGCGACCCAATTGAAACTAAACAGTTTTAGTAATGTGGCCAAAGTCCATATGATGGTAGAGTATGGGCGCCTTATTTTGAACTCTGTATAAAATCATTTTATTTTATTTTATTTGTAGGGTAATGTTGTTAATAAAATGATGGGGAGCTTGGATGTAAAATGACCACAATCGGTGTCATTCCCAGTCTTCGATTCCAATATAATAAAACAAAAAAATATTCAAAACAATACTGTTAAATACCCCGACCAAATAGTAAAAATATACAAATTCATGTTATTTGATTTAGTAACATAAATCTATCGTTTACCAGTTTACAAAATTTCAGGTTCGGGTGGTGGTTTTTTCTTGGGTTTGAAAAATACATCTCTAATAAGCATTGAATGTATGGTTGGTATTTGCTTTTGCCTGTGTAGCCATGGGTATTCAGGATTGTACGATTCATGGTCTAATGCTACTCTTCTCGATACACGAGTCATGATGGCCAACAAGTCAATTGAATCGAGACTGTGTTTGTTCATTTCAATGCACAGGCTCTGAATGAACCAAGTTCCGTTCTCTGGATGTCTGAATGAATAATAGCCTAAAAATAAAACAATACAATTTTTACAATAAGAGTAAATTGTTGAAAAAATCAAATATTAACAAACCATCATAAGTACTAAATGCAATTAAGAAATCTGCGTGTTTCGGTATTTTGTAAGCAGCAGTAGAAGAATCGACTTCGGTTTTACTTTCTCTTTTTAAAGTTACACCTGAATCAAGTTTTTCACCCCGACAGGCCTGAAATAACAGAAATTAATAACAATAACAATTATAATAAAATAATTCAAATGCAGAATATTACCTGAATGAAAAATATTTTTGGCTTACCAGCCAGAGTAGGACATTTGTCAGCAGTAAATGAATTCCACAAAAATTCGACCGGATATGGATTGTCTTTAGCGTAAATGAATGAAGAATTGATTCCATGAGTTAAAACAACAATAGCAAGACAATCGTTATCAGTATGATCGTCATTTGATACTAAAATTTAAATAGACACTAAATTAATTAATTAAATTATATAAATCATAATGTAGCCGTAAGGTATACGCTGGGAGTATATACTTCACACTTTTCTGTTTGTGTTTAAATGAGTATTTTGTACCAGCGGATCCCCTTACAATTGCTTCAGATTTGTAAACAGCCATTACATTTATTAATGCGGTATTCCAATTCTTCGTGGTACAAATTATTCCAAACCACCACTCGAAAATCCAAACGATAAAACATGATTTTCAGCTCTTCTACATCTTTCCACGAACCACTACGTTCAGGTAAGCTCTGGGCTGAGCCTTCAAACACATCGTTATTAATGATAACTGCTGTGCCTCGAAATTCATGTTCCATGTTGTAGCTGGTAGAGTCCTTGGCAACGGGCATTTTGGTGACTTCGCTGGGTTTTTTGTAACTTGGGCTAAGTTTACTACTAATGTATAAATATAAAACATTTAATACTTATAAAAAAACTATTTCATGATTTAGATTTTAAGTGGAGTAAATATAATATAATTTACTTATTAGTGTTGGGGGAATTAGTCGATTGCTCTTGAACGATAGCGTGAGTGGGTCGGGCATCGACAGAATCTGCATCATTGCTGGTGCTGAACCTAAACCAAGTTCCCTTATACGATCGGCCCGATGACTGAGCACCAGGGCTACTGTAGCCGAGGTCAAGAGATTCTGTTGTAAGTTCGTTATGCCTAGACTTGTTTAAGTCCCTGATGTTGGTAGCCTTCGATGTGGCTGAATACACAGATTCGCTGGACGTTGAAGGAAAACTGTGTCGTTTGATGTGAGCAGGAGACATTGACCCACCAACACAATCGATCACGTCCGATGTTCGTCGTATGCGTGTAGTTGACACTTCGGACGATTCCATGTCGGTACTCGTAGAGTCGTCCAAAAAGACTTCGTCGTCGTCAAATTCTTCTTCGTAAAACCCAGTGGATACCGACAACAGATATTCTTCTTCCTTAGTGGTTGAGCAAATGTTTAACGAAATTTCTTCTTCTTCTCCGGATAATTCCATACTGATCTGTAAAATGTTTTTAACATTTTTGATATTATTTTTCAAGCGATCGAAATAAATTTTACAATTTTAAATGAAGTCAAAGTGATAGAAGAAATGGTCAAAAACAAAAATTAGGGTTTATAATTCAACACGCAATTCTTTATGTTAAGAAGGATAACCCAATGATAGGTTAAATAAATCGGCTTATGTCTTTGTGTATTTATAACATTTGATGCATAAATAATAATAATTGGTGAATAAAAAATTGAATGCGCTTTCTGACCTGTTTAATACTATGTATTATTATTTATTATGGTAGCACAATGACAAGCTTAAAACTCAAACTACTACTAAAAAAAAAAAAAAGGCGCAATAACTTCTCAAAACGCAATCAATGAACACATACAAACTAGGGTGATACGCGACGAACTAACGACATCATTCTATACCTAAACAGAGAGGTTGTTGCTACTACTTTACTACTATTACTAATAATCATAATAATATTATAACTACTATTATTCAATAATGATAAATAAAAATAATATATAATATTAGTAATGTGTGTGTGTGTAAAAACACTAACCGTGAACGGCGACGGGTCTCGTCCGGTTGATAGGCGATACCACTAATAATAATACTGGTTTCCAGCGACTATAATAATATAATATACATTATACAATGTACGTGTAAAAAAACCCAGTAGTCGAAGGAAGCGCGTAGAAACAAAAATAAATATATTTAAAATAAAACGGGACCATAAAATAATAACAACCGAACGACCAAAAACACGACCGAGTGGAGACTAGAGACACTACCGTAGTGGTGTTTATCCTTCGAGTCGACACAATATTATTATTTACTATACTGCACTGCAGCACTCTACACAAGGACTGCTGCTGCTGCTGCATACAGCACAGAGATATTATGTAAACAATATCATATTGTACTCGAGAGTAATGTTCGCCCTGAGATAAGCATAAGCTGCTAGGCTAAGACGCCTTTTGGGTTGTTTTTCATTCGAGCGGTTTGTACCCAGAATTTAGAAATAACATTTTGTTTTTCTTCTAAAAACCCTCAACCTGTCTGACTAACTAAGCGGACGATCTCTATTCCCTGGAGAAGTGATGACCTCAAAACCGAAAACAAAATATATTTATATATAAAAATACAGTTATAATTATTTATACTGTCGATAAGACCTTAGACAGTCGACACGCGCGCGAGTTCATAGCACACAATTATATACATATTACAGTTATAATGCACACACACTTGCACGCGGATGTTACAAGAACGAAGGCTATTAAACGCGCACAAAACTGATTTAGAAAAAAAAAACACTGGTAGTCTCCTCCTCTGCATTTACCACTACCACCACCTTCAATTCCTAATTCAATCGCTATAGACGTTCGTCTACTACACGATACGACACATGTGTCATTTTGTCATGTCACAACTCACAGCTACAGCAGCTCTGACGAAACACGCACCTCCTATAATAATAATAATATTAGTATTATTAAGTTTTAGCTTCGATGCGTAGCTAAAGAGGTATCGTTTTCTACAATAAATTGTTATTTAATTGTTGTGCCTGAATCTTTTAAATCGCCGAATCGATTGCTTTTTGAACATATAGAAATATGTGCGATATATTCTTTAGATATAGTACTACTGATATACAATGAAAGCTCAAGAAACTTATTATAAGATATGAACACTTCATTTATTTCCCTTTTTTAGGTATAGTTTAGACTGAAAGTAGCCCTAGTTTGGCCCTATAACATAATTTGTTCAAATTTATTTTATTAAGAAAAAAGTAAAATCCTAGAAGCCCGATAACAATATAAAGATATTTTATAAAAATCATTACTGTTACCCGTTGATAATAATTATCATTGTGATTTTTTATGTAAACGCGTCATATAAACAGGGTGATCAATAACTTAAAAAGTTAATGAATAAAAAATTCTATCATTAAAAACTTAAATAACACTATTATGGTGATCATTCATTACATTTATTGTCAATAAAATGAATTATATACATATATTTAAATAATTTTTAACATGTATAGCAGTTTATACTAATTTCGTACTGTAACGATAAAATTGTTATTTGAAAGTGATGAAATAACTTTCAATTATAATAATTTCTAAGTACCCATGACCTCCGCGTACCTCACCATAGCATGACCCCAAAAGCGGTTTTTTTTATTTTTCAACAGTTCAGCATTAACGGTTTTGCGCAACTTCGGTTACAAGTATAATATTATGCTGAGGCCTACAGTAAGGTGGGTAGTATACACGATTCGAGACCACTACACAACGGCGCAGTATTATTATTATTGTTAAGGTATACAAGTGAGAGCAACCGACGAAGGGGAAGGGGAGAGGAGGTATAGATGCAACACCGTCGTAGACGTCCAAGACGCAGGTGCACTTCCAAGCGGTAGCGAAGTAGGCGTGTGCGGTCAGGGTGGGGAACCCTGAGGCTGTTTGTGTGTGTACCGAGAGACTCATACAGCAAAACCAAGAGAGATAGAAAAAAATATATTCATTAAATTAAAACGCATGTCCCGAGAACGACTGTTGACGTTTAAACTACCTACTATACACAATATCCACGAGTCAAAAAGAAAAAATTACAATTTCTTTTTATAGATACAAAGAACTACAAAACGATGTAACACTATAGAGATACCAACTTTTAAATTTTACAGGAACGGTGTTTAAAAATGTATAATGCCATGTCATTAAGTGTGTTTAATAAATTAAGTCCTAACCGGCAAACCTAGGAGTCTTCCAATATTTTTATTCACTCTTTCATTACTTAAATTTGTCTGTATAAGCAACATCTGTGCACTACTCCCACCAAAAAATTTAATCTTAAATAATGACTAAAGTCTTTTATTAATAAAATACGTAGGAAAATCTGAAATGTTAAAAATAAAGTCCTACTTGCGCTTGAAAACGTTCAATATTAATTACATACATCTATATTTACGTTATAAACACTAATTAGAGACATTTTATACGAGAAAAATATTTTAAAAAGGAAACCAAATGGATAAAATTGTTAAATCCAAATTTAATTTTAATATAGGATCTTTTAAACGGATTATAAAATACTTTTTATATTTGGATACATCTCTATATAATAATTAATAGATGGTATTTCTTTAGCCTTTAAATTGCTAAAATTATGTTTTTTTTTAAAGGCACGTATACGCTACGCTACAACTGAAAAATGTGTTACTTTTGGTAATTAAGAATATTTTTTAATATTTTATTACTTATATAAATTATATAAACAAATCCACAAGTTTTGCTCAGGTGTTTTCTAGAGGATATTAATATCAATTTAATTTAAATAATTTAACCCCGTATTTTGTTAAAATCACGCTTTTTAATATTTATAAATATTAAATTATAAATGTTTAATAGTTTTGAAATTAGAACCGTTTACAGTTTTTACATTAACTATTATCAAAGATTAAGTTTTGTGTTTAAATCTATACAACAATTACTAAAAATCAAAATACAATTTCTATACAGTTTTTCCAAATGTTAAGGATTTTAAAAACGAATAATATTATACACTAGGTTCACTATTACTATCATTTCTGAGACATACAATGTTCATATAAATATAAAAATTAATTTTTATCTTTTATTTACGTGATTTGTATTATTATTTACCAAACAGATTAACGACGGTCCGTTAATAGCAGCAGTATGGACGCGAGACCTCAGATTACTAAAGAAATTATCATTGGACGAAACCTAGGTCCGACAGAAGGCAATTGGGTAGAACGTAGAACGCAGACTGTGAAAAAAAAAACCTATTTACAAAAAACTTAACAACAAAAAACACAAAGAACGTTTTCCAGCCTTATCCCCGGACACACCTATCGATCGGTTCTACTGAGAATTGACGAGGAGGAAAACACAAAGACTAGTATTAAGTACGAAAAACAATGTTTTGCGTACAAAAAAATCCATAAATTTCCGTTCGTCTTCCAACGCCAACCCGTTTCACCGTAAATGTGTACAAGGATAAAATTAAAAACAGCCTAGTGTTGTTTTGGAGTTCCGATTTGTTTAAGGTTTTATCAGTTAAACACGACCTGCGCCCCGTTTTATGTCCCTTCGGCCTTACAACCGATGTTTAATACACTTTCCAACATCTGTCAAGATTACAAAGGGTTGCTCTTTCCATCGGACCGGTGCAAGGTCTCTAACATTATTCTTAATGTTCTCACGTCGAACCTATTATCATCATCGGTCGTTCACTATTAACTATCACATTACAATACACATCATGGTATAATAAAAAATGGAAAAAAATCCAGAAACGGGTTTACTTAGGCAATGGAAACGCGACTCTCCTCGAAAAAAAGTAGGTAACATATTTTCAACTTGACAAAGCCCATAAGGCCACCACTCCCCCTTTACACACGGTTAAGGTTTTTAAAAATATTATAAATGAATGAAGTATTATTGCAACAATATAACGAATTAGTGCATCAATGTTATATCATCACAATAACAAAAGAAAATAAATTAAAAATATTAGTTTCTTACTAGACTATAGTTCTTCCTAACAAATTAAAGTTGTTCAACCAAATCCTCTGGTCTCTCTCTCCCACACATCCGTGTGTTTATTTTTAACATCTACCCACCAATTCTCTGGTTCGGTCGTTAACATTAAAAATGTGATATTATAATAATAGTAATACACTAATCCAATGTAAGATCAACATAAAAGCAAACGACTACATAAAAAACTAAAAAAAAAAATAGTAATATTCATATTCCCAATAATACGATTCGCTGATTGGGTTCGGACATACCTAATTAATTTGTAACACCTGTGCGTGAAGATGTTTTAAGAATTATATGTCTAAGGGTTTAATAGAGAAATGTGTTATTTCTACTACCCAATTAACAAAATTATAATAATTAACTTCATGTTTGTACTCAATATTACTCGTATCGTTTTTTTATAATATGTAAATATTTAAATTACGATCATAAAACGTTTCATTAATATTCATAGTCTAAATGATTATTTAATCTAACAAAATTAATATAGAGGCGGAGACAGGAGGACGAGGGCAATTACCCTTCCAGTTGTCAAGAAATAGCTATTAACAGGTTGTTTGTTGATACATTTTTTTTATCTTAAAATTACTTGGTAAATGATGTTATATAGTAAAAGAATAGCGATAAGAACAAACTGTGTTACCAATAGAAATTAAAAACTCGTTATCTACTATTTAGTATAATATTAAATTATTATAAGCCGTAAATTATACATTCCTAACTTAATTATCCAACCTTTGGCGATACTCGATAGTAACTAATTTAATCAATGTTTATTGATCTGCATAATATTGTTGTATTACTAATAATTAAAGCGTAACGACTATAAATGACCCATTTCTAGACAACGTATATTTTTTAGAAGAACTAACATACTACATGTGTTATTGTCCAATTCGTTATTTCTTATCCTCCTTTGGTGTAATACTTAAAATTGTATTATGTTCGTATCATACGATACTGATATTCGCCCACCTATTAATATATATTTAAAACAAAACTTACATAATTTACTTCAACAAAAAAAATACGGCTCTTGGAAATAACGATGGTAATTTAACGGTTGCAGACATTTTTATTTATTTATGAACAAGTGTACATTTTTGAAAAAATCTAAGTGCCTCCATAAAGTTAGTTGTTTTATATTTTTAATCAATAGTTGGACCAGAACAATAAAATAGGAATTTATAGGGATTAATGCATACCTAAAAATTTAACTAGGTCGGTTTATTTTTAAACAAAAAATAGGTTATTGCCAACTTATAAGAGTTCTGTGTTACACCCCTAAAACTTAGTCCGAAAGACATACTGTTAAAAGTATTAGTTTGGATATTATGTCACAAAAACCACACACTCGACAGTGACGCGTTCATTTTGTAAAGGTACACATATTTTGTGTAGAACTTAACCGTTCTAATAATAAATTATGTCGAGGAGATTTGTTCAAACCTATTTTGAACAAGCTTTTATTATTATCATAATTTTTTTAAATAAGCTCGTTGGAAATAACCGAATTTACTCAATGATGATTTCAATGTTTCCATCGAAGTCGGTGCCATGATGACATCATATTGTGTCCTGACTTCCCCTCCTATAATTTTTAAACGCGTTTGTCACAAAACTGTTTGTGTCAATTACCAGCAATTATTACAACACTATCAACGCATCAGTCGCACACAATATGCTCAGTTGTAAAACAATTAATCCTTTGTTTTTTTTTCGCAAATCGCATTCGTGTGAATTGTAAGCCAAACGTCGCCATACCAATTGTTTAATATGATAAAAAAAATTCTCAAGACCAAGGAAAATAATAATTCTTCAATGTCCACGTGGGGACTTACACGATAAAATTCACAATAAGCTAACAAATGTAGATAAAAATACACTTCCAAATAGTAGAATAATATATTATTATAATGTTATACTATATGTATTCAATCAAATTAAATGTACATAATTATTTTTCTTAAACTTCAACCAATTTATTTCCTATAATTTTCCTCGAAATGGAGTGAAATATAATTACCGAGTAGGCAAAAAACCAAAACAAATGCCCAACAAAAATTTTGTATTTACCTAAAAATACGGTTTTTGAGACGCAACAAAATTTGGACTCAAACCTTATGAACAAAACGGGACGAGTCAAAAAATTTTGGTTCGGTAATACTACTACATGGTCTTAACTCTTAACAGTAGGTTTATTATTTTTATCCTAGTAAAATTATTAACGTTTCATTCTATTTATACTCATCCACATTATGTATTTAAAAGTTATCAGCATATTAACCCTTAACTGCAAACCTATTGATGATACATTATTTATTATCATAATATGTTAAGAAAAATAGAAATAATAATTTAATGATTGGTAAATAAATATCACTAGTACTTTTTCTGAACTTGACAAAAAAACAGTACAAAATTGACAAACTACAGAATTATGTTTTATTTAAGTGTCTCATAATAATATAATATACATAATTACCATTGAAATATCAAGAAATACGATATGAGTAAACTAAAAATGCTAGAATAGTATGAATTTACAATAATAATTAATAGCTATTACTCGGCATTATTTGCAAACATTTTTTTCTTCTCATTACCATGCGCCCTGACTCTCTTCTGCTTGATATGCTTGTTAAGTTTTCCTGTCGTCTTGAGATCCTCATACTGGCTAACCAGCTGTAAAATCTTAGTTTCACTCTTCTTTAAAAATTGTGGCTTTTTGCCTTCCTTCAAATCTTGTAATCGTTTCTTCTTTTGTTCAGATAATACATTATCTTGTGCATCTTGTTTTTGTTTTTCACGTTCCTGGTTTTCTATTCTTTGCAGCAAAAATTTAATATCAGCTTTTTTCTCTGCTGGCTCTTTACTTTTTAATTTTTTCTGAAGTTTTTTCTTTTCTTTGGACTGGATATCTCTTAGAAAACCGTAGTCTCTTTCAAAGGCACGCCTATTGAATTCACCATACAAAGAATCAAACCGAGGATCAATCGGTTGTCTAACTTCAGGTTCAATTTGAGGTTTATCTTTTTTAACAGTTAAAGAAGGTTCTATCTTAGATGATACTTCTGATGGTCTATTTTTATTATCCCGCTTGACAGTTTTAAGACGAGGAGTTAGTTTTCCTGTTTTTTTTATACTGTTACGATATATCTCATTGCCAACTTCTTCTTTAAGTTTACGCAGTTCTTTTAGGGATAGTTTTTTAAGATCAGGTTTTATATCGACTTCTGAATCAAAGTTTAAATTACTCATTTCAATTTTTTTATAAGAACACAACCACTGAAATAAAAAATAAAAAAAATAACTTTTACATTATTGATATGAAAAATTACTGTTTGCTAATACTTCTATAAACGATAACCGTAAATGGAAATGTCCATTAATACACAAATATGTTAACAATTCTTTCCTACCTGTCTAATAAACAATTAAATAAAGAAGGTTATATTTGTTATTCTTTTTCTTTGGAGATATAACATAAGATCTCATTCATAAATCTCAACAGTAATAGTGTATTTACTACTAAAATAATTTAACTATATAGAATACTACTATTTATAAATATATGTGGTCAACCCCAAATAGTTGGAATGAAGGCAAAGAAGATGTTTTATGATTAAACATGATGTACAACTTGAACTAAGTTAAAAACAGAAATACTGTGTACAACACATAACTAGTAGTGTAAACAATAAATCAAGTTAGTACCTACATAAAATATAGACAGTTTTTTAGAAACTAATTCTTGTTTATACATCAACACAGGCAACATTTGTTTGAACATGTTCATTAATAATGGTTTCTTAAGTAATATGCTTTTCATTTATGGCTATTTTATTTTCTTATAAACAATATACAATATAAAGTTATTATTCATCAATATTAATTTAATTTAATTCATAAAGAATTATACATTGTTTTGTATTTTAACTTTATGTTATATAGCACTTGTTGCAGTAAATTTTGTTTGAAAATTAGAAATGTACACACAATAATGTTCTTTGCGATCCCCTTTAAACCCAAGCGCATGGTATAATTGCCTGTTAGCAGTTGATATGCTAAAATTACATACATTTAAAGGCAAATTATATCATAGATATATAAAACAACTAGACAGCTAATTTAAATCTCATGAATGAATTGTTGCCACCAGATGCCAAAAAAATGCAAGAATGCAAAAAAAAAAATTATTGCCCTGTTAGTAGGTATACGGTGGTTAAACTTCACTGCTAACACAAAGTTTATAAAACTTCAACACAGAGTACACTATCTAGTTGTATTACATATGTAAGGTACACAGTTAGGTTTAGCTGAACATATTTTACTTTATATCAAAATAATTATTTTTTGATAAGTTTTTAGATCTCGACATTGATAATATTATAAAATGTTATTAAGAAACAAACTAAAAAAATTAATAAAATTATGTTACATGGTAAGAAATTAAAAAAAATAATTTTATACCTAATAATTGTAATTAGGTATTATATTATTTCATTTGATTTTTTTTAGGTTTTCTTAGATATTAAAGAGTTAAAAACAAAAAAAATACTATCATTTCAAAAAATAATAGATATTATGTTTAATTGATAATCCTGTATACAAGTAAAAAATATCAACTATAAGCAATGAAATAATTACAATAAGTAACTATCAACAGGTAATATTAGTGTGTATACACATTTTTTCATTTGGAATAAAAATCAGCTTTTGGTCCATAAAAGTACCTTTTTAGGTACTGTGTATTTTCAATCTATAGATTTGCTACATAAATACATTTGTGTTGTGTTTTAAAAGTTTATGTGACCCAACACAGAAAAAAAAAATAAAAGCTTCATTGTAAAACCAATACTTTTAAAGCGTTACCTGTACATCAGAGCTAAACTTTTAAAATAATAATAATTATAATTTCAACTAGATATTTTTTAAAAGAAAAAAAATTGATGTCAATTTACAAAGGTTTTAGTATTGATAGTACTATAGTACATTTAGTTAGGTAGTTGGTACTCAACTTAAAATAATAAATAGGATTGGCCTCAGAGAAAAAGTTGTTTTAGTTAAAGGGTCCATCATTGATTGTCAAAACGTAGCACTTAAATAATATAAAAACACTTACAGGTCAGATTGAATTGACTGGAGATAGACTATAATAGGTTAATTAAAAAAATACACTTACATGCCAGTAATAGCCATAAGTCTTAGTAAATAAGAATGGCGACACAAAAATTATTAGACTAAATGAGCATTATAAATAAAATAAAATAAAACAACTGTAACGGACAAAAAACGATACGATACTGAACATATTAAACTCTTTAGGTACTTTAAGATGACCTAAGGTGACTCATAAAATTCGCACAACCACCTACAATTATTATAATAAATGGTACATGGGTCAGTATTGGCTGTCGGACAGGTCACAACATGAGTCATGAAACACAAATCAGGTAAAACAACGATGTGGCTCATAGACCTTTTTCAACAACAATAATTAATAGTAATTTAAAATAAACTATTACAACATTCTGGATTACCTGCTGGAAATTCGTCACAGACAAAATTTACAAAGGCGTAAAAAAACGTCTAGCTAATTATAATAAAAACTGTCGGATTCAACATACGATTTTTAACTTCAACACGTGCAAAAAATTATTTAATATTTATCACACTTGAGGAAAACCCAACGTGCGTTTTCGGTTGTTGATAAATAAAAAAAACGTGTATTGCGCATTAGGCTCAGCGCGTGGTGTTTGTGTGTTCACTATATTATTATTTACTATACTATTATTATTATTATTATCAAACGTTTAATGTGTAAATAGTCACCTGTATTTATTGTACTTTGTTTTGACGTCGACCAACGGATTTTCGTCTCATTCAAACGAAAATGACAGTGGTATTATCTTAATCGCAGTCGGCAGTGTGTAATATTAATTAAACATAAATAACAACAGTGATAGAGAGAAAGAAAACAACGAGATCAATTCTGACGGCAGAGAATGCCGTTGCGGTAATGGCTGGAAAACGAATGCGTCACAACTCACAACTCAATACTCGCACGCTGGTGTGTTCGCGCGGCGCCGCCTCGCGGGTGTGTTGTTGGTGTTTATTTAAACCGCCGGGCGGCGTCACCGTCGCGTCGCATAATCAACATCAACAATAGTATAGAGGAACACACGCGGACCGATTGGCGATGGAAAATATAAAAACCGATCCAATAAACAAGTCGATTATCCAAAAATCGATAAAAATTAAAATTAAATTATTGAATTGTTCAAAGCTCGGTTATTTTATAAAAACCACATATTTTCAGAACTCAGATCAGCAATAATGCAATAGTGTTTATAGGTCCTTGGACAATAAATAAAACAAATTATACGGTGGTAGCATAAGTAGCTGAAATGAGAATGTAGATCAGAAATAGGAACGATACTTCGAAACAAGTCCATATTTGATGTGGTTTTGGGGATCCAAACTCTTCGATAAGTTTTCTTCCCTCAATTATATAAAATCACAATAATTTCTAATAATGCGTCATACCATAAATATTTGAAACCCCTAAAAAGTAAAAATGTAGTCGAGCCTACGGCCTTAGTTCCAAAGAAACGCGTTCAAGATTTCAAGAAATGGTTCATTTTCTATCTAAATTCTAAAATCTTACCTAGGAGGTCTATTAGAATAATTATTGAGAGCTGCTACTGAGATGCGATCGCGGCTGTGGTGGAAAGAGTCGGATGATACTATTAACGTGGTTATACGTACTATTACCAAGTTTAAGGTAATGTCATTTACGTATTTTATCTCGGAAAAGAATGTTATCACAAACAAGATTAAAAAGTCACAGACCGCGGTAGACGTCGCATAGTTTCATTTGATCAATGATAATAATAATAAATTAATAATATGCAGTCGTAATACATCGTACTTACCAAAAAAGAAAATTAAAGACGAACATCGTCCATAATTTGAATTTTGGGGCAAAACTCCTTCGGTTAATACTTTAATTTTGGCCTCCCCTAACAAATATAACACCGATATTTATCAGATTGATGAAAATGGACAGCTAAGTTATAAGAATATTATGATCTCGCATAGATCCGCGATGAACAAGATAATTTTGGTCGCGTTGTTCGTCTTGCAGTTGTCGTGTTTTGTGTATTCCGACGAACACAATCATTTGGTAACTATATACAATTTCTTCAACAATAAAACGGCTATTGATTACTTTTACTGTAAGGAAGTAAATAAATAGCTATAGTATTTTTGATGATGTCATCATGTATAGGCTTTTAAAAGTGGCAAATTTTTCAGTTGTCAGGTCGCAGTTTTTAACGTGGCATCTTGTTTTATGTTTTAACAATAACATAATAGTTTAAGATTGTAAAAGAAATGCACCTTAAATCTTTTGGAAAGTTGTATAGTGCATTATGATGGTATCCGTTTTTAATGTTATTCTTTCTACCTAGTGTGTTAAGATTGATTTCAATTAGTTTTAAATTTGTATGTGTATCGTATCTTAAAGAGCTTATCACACATTCAGTAACGGTTTTTATTTTTTTACAAGGGTCCATGGTTGGCTGACTATGAGTAAAATCTTTTAGAACAATAAATATAGGTGTAATTTTTTTTGAATGCAAGCATATAACACAATATAAAGTTTTTGTTGATTAGACCGAAAATGCCTATTATTTTTATTTATAATTTAGTATGAAGATAATGAAGAAGTGGTATTATGGATGAACACTGTGGGTCCATACCACAATCGACAAGAGACCTACACTTATTTTAGTCTGCCATTTTGTGCGGGAACTAAAGAATCGATAAGCCATTATCATGAAACACTTGGCGAAGCATTACAAGGTGTCGAACTCGTATACAGTGGACTCGACATACGTTACAAAGGTTGAATGAATTTCTATTTATACCAATAAACATTAAACTATATGGGCTCTTAATGTATTTTAATTTTTTAAATTTCAGCTGAGGAAGCCAAAATGCCTTATTGCCAGATCATATTAAATGAAGAAAAACTAAAAGCGTTTGTGTATGCAGTTAAAAATCATTACTGGTATCAAATGTACATTGATGATCTTCCAATTTGGGGTAAATTAAAATGATTTGGCTATTTGATGTACATTGAAAAACTTTTTTTGCAAGCTTAACAAAATATTGCATTTTAAATAATAACTTAAAACCCTAACTGACAAGGGGAGGGCACAGTTCGTAAAATACCAATGCAACATAAAAGAATGGGTCTGAGATTTTTATTCAGTGCACTTACAGAAATAAATATAAAATTAATTTGTTGTACCTGTAGTTTTATCTAGCTTATTGGTCTAAATGTTAAAACTTTAAAAAAACATGGGTGCAACGCCCTTAATTAAAATTTCACATTGGGTGAGGAATTTCATATGTTGTGGCCATTCCTAAATTCTACCTTTAGAGTTTAAAACCCAACATTTATTTATTTTTATTTTTTTTTTTGTTTTATTTTTGCGGTTTTTATTTAATTTGAATTGTTAAAATATTATTACTATTTTTGCAGTAGAAAGTATACCACTATCAGAGCAACTGTAGAAAATGTTTGAGTACAATATGGAATTATTTATTTTTAGGAATTGTTGGTGAAATGGATGAAACTAACAACAAGTATTATATATGGACTCACAAGAAATTTGACATTGGCTATAACGGAAAGCATATAGTCGATGTAAATCTTTCATCTGAAGCAAAAGTAGAACTAAAAGTCAATACAAATATTGAGTTTACCTACGAAGTGAATTGGAAACAATCGCCGATTACATTCAAAGATCGTTTCAACAAGTATTTAGATCCAAAGTTCTTCCAACACCGAGTAAGCCGTTATATTAAATGCAATGTTCAACTTTATGTTTTTACTCATTTTATTTCTCTAGATCCATTGGTTCAGTATTTTCAACAGTTTCATGATGGTCATATTCTTAGTTGGTCTTGTATCTATGATTCTTTTGAGAACTGTGCGCAAAGATTATGCTCGTTACAGCCAAGATGAAGAAGTAGACCTCATGGTACGTGTTTATTTATTACTCTTTCAGAGTTGACTTATTAGTTTGTTCATACTTAACATATTATTGATTTTAGGAAAAAGACTTGGGGGACGAATACGGTTGGAAACAAGTTCACGGCGATGTTTTCCGTCCCGTTTCGTATCCTATGTTGTTCTCGGCCATAATCGGATGTGGTCACCACATAACTCTAGTCACTCTCGTTGTTATCACATTCACAATTATTGGCGATCTATACACGGAGTAAGAAACTTATTAACACGACGACAACCTTATATTATTATACCTACCTATTAGCTGTTATTAAAGTATGTATGTTTTTTAGACGAGGCTCATTGTTAAGTACATCTATATTTGTTTATGCCTTAACATCGCCTGTTAACGGATACTTTGGAGGGGCTCTCTACGCCAAAATGGGTGGACGTATTTGGATTCGCCAGATGTTATTATCAGCTTTCTTAATGCCATTTTCTGTGAGCGGCGTGGCGTTCCTTATAAATTTTATCGCCATTTACTATCACGCCACTCGTGCGATTCCGTTTGGTTCGATGGTAAACACGAGTTTTGTTGTATTTAACCTAGGGTTTGAATATAATTTTTCTTTTTTTTTAAGGTTGCCGTAATTTGCATTTGCGTATTTGTGATATTACCCCTCACATTGGTTGGGACCTTGCTCGGTCGCAACCTATCAGGACAACCAGATTATCCTTGCCGAGTGAACGCTGTTCCACGACCGATTCCAGAGAAAAAATGGTTTATGGAACCTTTAATTATCACTTTGCTCGGCGGAATTTTACCTTTTGGATCAATATTTATTGAAATGTACGTATTGATGTTATTTCAGGGTTTGTTTTACCACGTACCATATGTTTAATTTGTGTTAACAATTATTACACAGGTACTTCATATTTACATCATTTTGGGCTTACAAAATTTATTACGTCTATGGATTTATGCTTTTGGTCGTTTTGATACTTATGGTAGTCACAGTTTGCGTGACGATTGTGTGTACATACTTTTTGCTCAATGCAGAAGATTATAGATGGTAATTTGATTGAAAATTAGTCGGTGGCATAGTTGTAGGGTGGATATACACTGTGTATACCCTTACGACTACACCATTCATACTATTATCCAGTAAACACATACTACAATAATTTGTTTTGTTATTTTTCAGGCAATGGACTAGTTTTGCGGCCGCTGGATCAACCGCGTCTTATGTTTATTTGTACTCGGTCTACTACTTTTTATTTAAAACAAAGTAAGTTTCATTAGAAGTTGTAATAGTTCAATCATTTTTTATAATATGTTTCTTTATTTTTACAGGATGTATGGTCTCTTTCAAACAGCTTTTTATTTTGGATACATGGCATTATTTAGTTTAGCGCTGGGAATCATGTGCGGCACTATAGGATATGTTGGAGCCAATGCGTTTGTGCGTAAAATCTATACCACCGTCAAAATCGATTGATTGTCAATGATCTTTATGTTATTCACACCTGTAACAGAGTCAATACATTATGTAAAATATTGAGTTAATAAAATTTAGAATAAACAACATGTTTTTAAATTTTCACTTATGATTCGATTACATCTGTTATTATTTATTAATTCTTTGCAGACTAAAAATGTTAATCTAGAGTAATATATATCCTAACTGTATTCATTCGCTAGAAATAACAAGTCTGATTTTTGTTTTAAACAACATCTAATATAGTTAAAAATAACATCTCTCCATTTTTTAAAAATGTATATGGAGTATTATATTATTATAATTAATTAGAATAATTATTATAATTTTTGTTAGTAAGTTTCAGGTGTAAGAATGTCAATTAGTCAAAACTGTTGGTTAACCTATAATTGATGATAAATCTAAGTTACAAATATTAAAACTGATTTTGTTAAATATTAAACTGAAAATTGAAATATAATATTTATTTGAAGTAAGATCTCATTAATTAACCTAATGTGAAAGATAAAGATTTTTTAAAATAACAAAATAAGATTAATAATAAATTTGAATCGGTCATTTCAAATATGACACAAATCACAAAATTGAAATTTTACACTAGCCACAAAAAATTTCATAACTTCATAACTAGTTTATCCAGTGATTCTAATTTCTTGTACTCAACATTTGTATTAAATATGAGTCTGACAAACTTAGATTTCACACAGAATACGTAACTAACTATATAATTATAAAATTTGACAAAAAGTAATTTTTGATAAATCGGTGACTTATATCGTTTTGAAATGACCGATTCAGTTATAATCTTAGTTTATGGTAATAAACTAAGTAAAGTATAAGAAAGATATTTACATAATTCTAGATAAGGTAAAATTAACCAGCTATATGTAGGTACTTTTTTATACATTAAATTAATACTACAATTGAATATTCACCAACATTTTAATGTCTCACAAATATTTTCTATCTAAAAAATTTGATTTTTTCTAAATTAATGCCGTAAACAAAAAAAAAAAATTATTCCACGGGTCTTCCCGCAAAATCTTATTACCAATTTATTTGACATTTATTTGTTTTAATATAAATGTTTTCCATTTTTACACTACATGGTCTAAAATCATAAAAAGTGATATACATACATCTATGATACATTTTGTGTAGTATTAAACAAAATTAAATACATTTTCTAGTTAAAAAATAAATTTCGAAATATTAGTATAAGTGTTAAGAACTATTTTAAAAACATTAAAATTTGTGTGTTGGTTACTGATAGTTCCTATTCTCTTTTCTATGCGTCTATATAATATGATGTGTGAAATCTTCTGAGGCCGTGCTGTATGGTGGATAAGACCAAAGAAAAAACAACTAGATAAATTACAAGAATGTAAATTTTATTGTTTTTTAACAAATCTTTTGGGAGAAAATAACAAGGATCATTTTATTTCCACAAGCACAAAGTATTAAGTATTCAAAAAAGGTAAGTGACTTGTTTAAATCATTAATTAAATTAAATAATATGTTAATATTTGACTAATAAAACGAATATAATATGTACAAAACAATTTTACTTAATTTACATTTTACCTCAAAACAGCTTTATACTACCGATGAAAATTTAAGCCATGTGCTCAAATAAAAGTTTTAATGTATTAAATTATTCATTGATAATGGTGAATGGGTTATTTATTCGATTTGAATATACCGGAGTGTCGAAAATGAAAATTTCTCATTAAGATGATAATTCACACGACGCCTACCTATATAATGTTGTTTATTTTGCAGGAAATATAAATTATCAATAACATTTTATGTACAAGTCCACCTGACTTACTAAAATAATTTTTGATTAATATTCTATTTCTCGAGTTAAAAATGTTCAATATTGCTTTATAAAAAAAACCAACGGTACCTTTTTAAGTTTTCAATAGAATAATAAAATAAAATGAATTTTCACGAATGAATGTAAAAATGTAATGTACACGTATGTATGTAAAAATTAAAATAAGAGAATATATAATGTATTTAGTAAAGGGGTGGAAACTTTTTCTTTATTTCACTTTTTCGAGCGTAGTTGGGACTTAAGATCTGAAAATTAAAATGAAAGTAAATTGATCTAAAGTGGAGTTAAAACATATACAATTTTATATAAATCTTTAAAATCGTATTTTTTAAAAATTATTATTTTTGCTATTTTTTCACAGAATTATTCATTTTCCAATCGACAGTTGATATTTTTAATAGACTATTATCTACTTAAAACGTTACATACGTTAACATTTTTTTGAAATTAAAACAAATTGTAGTCACTTTTACCAAATAACATGATCACAAACACATTTATTGGCCATAAAACGATTTATATTTGTATTTCATAGTTGGGAGTTTTTTTTTACATAGAAACGTTTATTTACAAGCAATTTTTTCACTTTTTAGTTTTAATAATTATTATACTACCACTATGTTGGTCCTTAATATTTATTATTTAAACTGTTATTGATTTTACTTTTAAAAACCCTCTTGGCCAGGGTAGACTTTTTTAGACCTCGAGGTGGTATGGGTAGCGAGACGAACGCAACATACTACGATGACTTGCTAGTCCTCTAGGTCTATTCCAACAATTGCCTTTCCATTTGGCCGACTCCAATGTCGATGACCAGTAATCTTTGCTGACCACCGTCGAAGATATTATAATTTATGTGGTCCGAAGTAATCACCACCACCAATCCTACCACGTACAAGGAAGTCGACAGAAGCACCGGAAACTGTACTGATGTGGACACTAACATCAGACGTTAATGTGTCAGTTTCTGATATCCTCAAAGGATATCACCACAGGCTTTTGTATAGTCTGGCCAAGACCAGGTCGTTGGAAAAGGACCAAAAGGCGATTAAGTCCAGCTGACAGATTTATGTTAGCCTGCGGTCACTGCGGCCGTACTCCCTGACCGGAATGCGATTGTTCAAACTTTCATATTCTATTATTTAGTACGCGTTACCAATAAAGTTGATGCTTAGTATTTTTTTAAACATAATATACTTATTTTGTGATCGTATGATAGACCAAATACTAAATTTTAAGTTTGTCAACCCATAATATCCTTTAAATCCACATTTATTGGGTTTGAGTCTAGAAGGGTTTTGGTTTTTTCATAATAAAAAATTATTATTATAGATTTGTACTTTTATACACATAGATCTATCATCAAACTAATTTCGCCTCTAAAATCCTATTTTTTTTTTGCAAAGATGCTACGCTTGAGTACAAGTTTTTAATTTTTCATAAATATTGATCGATAGAAGTGTATTCTCGCGGTGATGGCGTGTCCAAAGACCATTGTCATTTTCACTCGACGACATTTACACTTTTTCCAAGTGTTCAGTAGGTTTTTGCAGTCGTATTTTACTGTCTGCGATTTATTTTTACATGTCACTTGCACAACCATACATTTATTATATGCGTTCTATTAGTAGAATTTCAGTTTTAAAATTGTCCCCTTCGATGAACATTTATCAAAACAAGAAAAATAACACAAACGACCTTCAGTTGGTATAATATTCGACAATGATAAAAACGTTTTTCTTATTATGTCTTCGACCACGTTAGTCTGCAAGGTTTAATTTTCACTATATTATTTACTGTTACCCTTCAACAAGCAAACAGTTGCATCATGCAAAAAAAAACGGGTAAATTATCGATTCGGAAAACAGTAATGAGCGGAAACCTATTTCCGACAAAATATTTGATCGGTTAAAAAAATGGAAACTAGTCTGTGACAATGGACAAAAAAACTTGCACGTGCCGGTTTTACTTTAGCTAACTTGTCAAAGCAATTTATCTCTTAACATTTTTTTTTTTGTGAATAGTCATACAAAATTTACTAGGTAAATGTAGTGTGCCAAGTTGTTCACCATTTGACTTTACTCTTATTAGTCTTATTAAAAATGCTTCCCTAATTTTATTGAAATTTCTTTTATCAACAGCTTACGAGGTATGATTTAAATAATATTAATTATTTATTATATTTTTAATTAATATAATATAAAAATAGGTAGTAAATTATTTTTTTTTTATTCAACATATACAAAATATAAGGACGTAAAATGTATTGAGGAGCAAGGTAGGAAGAAACGCGCTTGTTAACTTTTGCAAGTGGTGTTTCACATTGTAGGTACTTTCAAAAAATTGTTTTTTATTTTTATAAAATATTGCATACTTACCTCGTTTAGCATTTCCTATTTTAACATGTCGTTCATATATTTTTTTCGTGGGTATAAGACTCAATAGCTTCCTCCATCAACTTATAATAGTTAATATATAGTAAAACACAATATTTTTCTCGTCATTATGATAGGCTAAATGAAAAAAAAATTGGATATTAAGATTGTAATTTTGTAGCGTTTAAGAAGTCTAAAAATTATCTTGGTAGCTATGATAACAAGAAAGTCCTAGATGATGGAGGTATAATATGTTATTTATTGCAATGCCTTACTTTTAGTCCTGACTGGCATATGAATACTTAACGTTAAACATCTTTTTCCTTGTCAGAAAGGTTTAATAAGGGTTCGTGTCAAGTCAGACCCCCCATATTATCAAAATCGGTCCAAATAAATTGTTAGTAGTTGTAACCAGGTTTTTATAGTTTGTAAATTCTTACTTTCTGAGAAAAACCCAATTAAAAATAAAAACCTACCTTATTCTGCCCAAATAGTCCCAGACAACTTGTAATTCATAGATATCAATTTGTAAGTAATTGTAACCTGGTAATTGTACCAGGTAAAAAATGTGTAAATTATTTTCCACCCCTCTACAGCATTTTGCAAGTTTTCGCGTAACCGGCGCAATGTGTAGGCAATTCAAGTGCTCGTGGGATAAAAATGCATAATTCCAGATTTTTCAATAACGTTTTTACAAACAAGTTAGTTTATACTTAAATGCCCATCGAAACAAAATATAATATAATACCAGGTGATTCTTTTAACGCCCTATACTAGTTAACTTTTAAAATAATTTCAATTTTGTAATGTTTCTTTTTAAAAAAAATTGTATTTATGTTATAGTACAATATTAGACAGTATTAAATTGTTTATCTCTTTTAGTATTTGTTAGAG